GTGATATTAAGCTACTTTAGAACTTCTAAAATTTACTCCATTTATCTATTTTTTGTCAGATTCCTTTTTATTCTACACTGTGTACAAAAAATAACGTATCAAACTTATATTTTGATTTCGGATAGGTTTACAAAAAAATTATCAAATAATCAAGTTATGTCAATTAGATATATACCGGGTGCACTATCACTCTAAAATGAAAAATTCACTTTTTAACAAGAAAATAATACATGAACCTGTACAATGGAGCAACTGTCATAACAACATATACAATTTTTTGTGACAGCAGTATTTTGTAAAAACTCATCGACAGTAGTTGCCTAGCTGTAACAGTGGATCTCTGTTCCAATTCACCTAAAATAATTATAACCATTTTGTACAAAAACGCAAGTTTGGTTCCAGAAATTGCTTCATGCAAAAAATAATATGCGAAAATAAACATCCCCCCCCCCCCAAATAAAATTAATTAAACAACAAAATCATACTCAAAGAAATAAACGGGGCCCAAATTAAATTAATTTTAATAAAATGCACACGTTCATAACAACATTCATAACATTGTCAGTTGTCAGTTCTAATCTATATGTCGACGTCAAAAAACCAGCAACATCAGCGACCTCTAAATTTGGTGTTAGTTTTATTCGAGAGAGATAAATATATGTAAAGATCAATGTAAAAGAAAAGGAAAGTCATATATGTAATTTAAATGGACCACTGAACAAATTTTCCTATTAAGTTACACGTTTCTGTTGTCTCTGGCTACTATTTAATCACTATAATTTTATTTACTATACAACTACTACTTTTTCTTTTGCTGCTATAAATCTATCCCCTTTTTCGAGACACATGACCAATGTATATAATCCTATTTTTTTATTTCATTGATCTAAACTATTATTTTTAGATTAAAAATTATTTTTAGGCACAAAACTTCAAATTTAAACATCAACTATCAAGTAATCAAATGCGGAGCCTCCGGGCACAACGTTCGAAGCAAACCTAGTTTTAAAGCCACTCCAGTGGGAATGTTAGCATTAGGAAACGTAATAGGCATTTCAGAATATACAGTTAACTCCGACGGATGCTGGGTCAAATTGGATAAAGCCACTAAAGAAAAATACTGCTTTAGCTCGGAAACCGAAGCTTGGTCATTAGCTGTTGGTCACAATAACGTACTATATTTGGGTAATGTCAACGAAACTGGTAGCCCAAAATTTACATTAGATGATAATTCTCGAAAACAAAAGAGGGGATTTAATTTTTCTCTTAAATCGAACGAAGCGAATTTTTTATTTTCGGGGCAAAGCTCTATTGAATCTGAAGAACTTTTACCGACCAATCCGTTTATTTTCGGCGAAGGAAGCCAACCAGAATATACAAAAACACCTAAGAAAGACAAAAAAGATGGTAAACTAAGTAGTTTACCTAAGTGGTTTAAAGGAGAAGATGTTAAAAAGTGAGTTTAAACACAGTATCTAGGTACACGCTAACTTGTACGAAATTCAAAAAGTTATATACATGCGAAACGTCTTGTCAGTGTAGGTGAGCTGTGTACAGGCCGTTGGTGTTAATGCCGGTCGGCGTAGCTAGGTATGGATTGAAACTTTTTGGTGGCGAGAAGTCATTGCTTCGTTTTTTTGTTGTCACGGCATTATTATTATTTGTTCATGTATGTGAAATTTGCTTCTAAGGTTTATAAAATACTACTGCTAGTCACGGCGTAAATGAAAAAAAAAAGACGCAATATGAAGTTTCGCGTGTATATAATTTTTTGATTTGTGTACACTTTAGTGTGTACCTAGCAACAGCGAAGTTTAAACAAATGCAACATATATTATTATTTCATAATATTTTTTAGCGATTCAAAGGAACCCAGCATCAGTCCACCAATAAAACCACACAGTGAGAGTAGCGTAAATGGAAATGGAGTTACACCACCAGATACGCCAAAAAGATCTCAGAGTCCAAGAGCTTTAATTTCATCTTCAAAGTTGTCAAATAGGAGTTCAAATCCGGTAACAGATCCAGGTAGATTATATTCAAAATAAATTTATAAAAACAACATTTTAATTTGTTTTTTAATTGGAGGTCAACCAAATGTTGTATCAGAAAGTAGTGGAAGTCCCCACCTGTTTGGATCTACAAAAAGCATAGCAATGTCACCTTTAGGTATGTTTCTTTTATATCATACTAGCTGTTGCCCGCGGCTTTAGTCGCGACTTTGTAGTCGTGTTATTAATATAAAAAAATACATGACTTCCTTTTTTATTAATTTTTATTAGTTTTATTCATTTGTATTCATTTGCATTCATTTGTATTCATTTTTATTAATTTTTATTAATTTTTATTAATTTTTATTAATTTTTATTAATTTTTATTAATTTTTATTAATTTTTATTAATTTTTATTAATTTTTATTAATTTTTATTAATTTTTATTAATTTTTATTAATTTTTATTAATTTTTATTAATTTTTATTAATTTTTATTAATTTTTATTAATTTTTATTAATTTTTATTAATTTTTATTAATTTTTATTAATTTTTATTCATTTTTATTCATTTTTATTCATTTTTATTCATTTTTATTCATTTTTATTCATTTTTATTCATTTTTATTCATTTTTATTCATTTTTATTCATTTTTATTCATTTTTATTCATTTTTATTCATTTTTATTCATTTTTATTCATTTTTTTATTTATTTTTATTCATTTTTATTCATTTTTATTCATTTTTATTCATTTTTATTCATTTTTATTCATTTTTATTCATTTTTATTCATTTTTATTCATTTTTATTCATTTTTATTCATTTTTATTAATTTTTATTAATTTTTATTAATTTTTAATAATTTTTAATAATTTTTAATAATTTTTAATAATTTTTAATAATTTTTAATAATTTTTAATAATTTTTAATAATTTTTAATAATTTTTAATAATTTTTAATAATTTTTAATAATTTTTAATAATTTTTAATAATTTTTAATAATTTTTAATAATTTTTAATAATTTTTAATAATTTTTAATAATTTTTAATAATTTTTAATAATTTTTAATAATTTTTAATAATTTTTAATAATTTTTAATAATTTTTAATAATTTTTAATAATTTTTAATAATTTTTAATAATTTTTAATAATTTTTAATAATTTTTAATAATTTTTAATAATTTTTAATAATTTTTAATAATTTTTAATAATTTTTAATAATTTTTAATAATTTTTAATAATTTTTAATAATTTTTAATAATTTTTAATAATTTTTAATAATTTTTAATAATTAATTTTTATTAATTAATTTTTAATAAATATTTTTTTTTAATTTTAGTTTATTTTTATGACTATGTCGCCGAATAACACTGAAGCCTATTGGCTTATTGTGTTTTACCCCATGTTAGTTCATAGCACCCACTCTGTCACTACCATACAAAAATCTAAAAACCATAGAGCACGTCATTATTTATACTAAAATTGTAATTTTCAAGTTACAACGTTTAAAAAAATTTATACTTCTATACAAATTTTCACCCCCCTTAAAATGTTAAAATCTAAAAACCATAAAACACATCATTTTTAATTTTTATGTTTTAAACATTAAATAACAAAAAAAATATACATACTATTAAACATATTTTCACCCCCCATTTCCTCCCTTAAAATGTTGAATTGCAAAAATCCTGAAACACTTCATTATTTATTTATGATGAGAACCTACAATTCCAATTTTCAAGTTCCTACCTTTAAAAAAATCGATATTTCCAAATAAACTTTCACTCCCTCCCCCCCCCCCCCCCCCCCATTAAAATGTGAAAATTCAAAAACCCTAAAACACGTCATTATTAATTCTTACTCATTAGCTGCAATTCAAATTTTCATGTTTCTAACTTCAAAGAGAACAAAAAAATATGTACTCACATACAAACTTTCACCCCACGTTTGCCCCCTCAAGATGTAAAAATATAAAAATCCTAAAACACATTATTATTAATTTTCCCCCTTAAAATATGAAAATCCAAAAACCCTGAAACATTTCATTATTTATTTATGCTTAGTAGCTGTAATTTAAATGTTCATGTTTCTAACTTTAAAGAACAAAGAGTTTCATTGAAAGCTCCCTCCCCCATTTTCCCCCATTCCCCCCTTTAAAATTGAAATTTCCAAAAATCCTTTCTTAGCGGATGCTTACGTTATAAAAGAAACCTATGTTCCAAATTTCAGCCTTCTAGGCTCAGTAGTTTTGGCTGTACGCTGATAGGTCAGTCAGGACAAACAATTTTATATATATATATATATATATATATATATATATATATATATATATATATATATATATATATATATATATATATAGATTATAGTTAAAATAGATGCCTTATTTTGGGCAACGAGTGAATATTTGCGTGATGAGCAGAGCGAGAACTCGCAAAATGTACGCGTTACAACGTATTTTATATAATTTGATTTATTTGAATTAACACATGTTGTTGTTTCAAATATTTTAAATATGATAAACAATAAAACGTGAAAAAACTCTTAATTTGTGAGATTCGTAACTTATTTCTCTTTTAGTAAGTGGAACTGGCTGCGAATCCAATGTTCCTTCTAGAGACATATTACCGTCCCTCAGTCAAACCACTGCTCAGAAAGAAACGTCACCTAGTTCAAGCAGTAGCTCAGTCCATGCTAGATTAAGTTCTAGCTCATCTAATATGACAAACTCTAAGGAATATTTTGTAAGTTTTATTTCAATATATCTTTGATTTATTATTGACTTTATTTTTCAAAAAAATTACTATTTTATTTAATTAATTTTTTAACCATATATCAACTATGATTAAAAAATCTAATACAGACGTTGGTTCTCTAAGTCTTAGACAACTTCAACATATTCTCCTCCTTTGTGAAGACTTCACACATCTAATTTACAGTTTTCGTTTTAAGTTGTTATTATTCCTGTTGGTGTCTTTGGAGGTAGGTTGTTGTCGACTATCACTACCACGTCACCTTCTTTGAGATGTTCTTTCTCAGTTCCTGCAGGTGCTCTTTTACCTATCTCTTCCAAAATAACTGCGACATCCTCTGGACTGTTTTCCATTGTTGTCTTGGATTTCTTTCATTAATTGTTGAAGGATCAGGAAATTCACCAGGAAATGTTTTGGTGTCAAACATTCTCGGTAATCAAAAGTAAAATTGTCTGTATCTGGGGCCCATTTAAATTCTAGAGCCCTCTCTGTCTATTGCATACTGTTTATTATCAACTGACTACCATTTTCAAACTCGTGATATTTGTATCAAACCAACTCTGTAATCAGAATACTCTACACGGTCCCGAAAATTTCATCTCTGATTCAACGGCACTCTCCGCCCGTTCCAGCCGTTTCTAGTGCGTCAGCGGCATTCCTGAACATTCCGTCGCTTCGAGCACGAGTCGGGTGCTAGGTGAAGGTCACGATTGCTTTAGACATAGGGTCGGCTTAAGAATTTCATGACAGTACATTAAAAAATCTGATGTGTCCAACACATGACTTTCCTATCTAGTTATTATAGGCATTTGCCGGTTATTTTGTAGAACCTATTGCAGCATCTCTATAAATGTTTAGAGGATAAACTAAATATATACATTTTACACATACATCTACCTCGAAACATTTTTCTATAGATATTCATTGAAAACGAAAATACAGAAAAATTTAAATTTAGCACTTTTCCATTACGGTCCATTTTAGAAAAATCATGTATAAACAAAAATTATAGAAATCGATATCGCAAACAACTTTTAGTTCAACAATTTTCATAAAAATCAGAATTTTGCACATTTTGTCAAATTTCTCGAATACGGACCATTTCAGGAAATTTTGACATAAAGCAAAAATTATAGATAATAATATTAGAAGTAACTTTTATTTGAACAATTTTCTTCTCCAAACATAAATAACAGATATATTCCATAAAATATAAAAACGGCCTCCCATAAAGTACCCCCCAGATGTTCCGACTTTGTCCAAAATCTAATCATTTCACGTCAGGCCGAAATAAACCTTAAGTTTAAAATTTAATGTTTTTTCCTTTATCCGTTTTTGAGTTTTCTTCAAATTTCGAAATTTACACATTTTCTCAAATATCTCGAATACGGTCCATTTTAGAGAAATTATGTATAGGACAAAAATTATAGAGAATTATATTATAAACAACTTTTATTTGAACAATTTTTATAAAAAATTATTATTTTTACATTTTGTCAAATTTCTCGAATACGGACCCATTTTAGGAAACTTTTGCATTAAACAAAAATTATAGATAATTATATTAGAAGTAACTTTTATTTGAAGAATTTTCTTCTCCAAACGTAAATAACAGATATATTCCATAAAATATAAAAATGACCACCTATAAAGTACCCCCCCAGATGTTCCGACACTGCCCAAAATCTAATCAGCTCATTGGACGCTGAAACAAAGCTTAAGTTTAAAATTTGGTGTTTTTCTGTGTATCGGTTCATGAGTTATGCGTTATACAGACACACACACACACACACACACACACACACACAGACACACACACACACACACACACACAGACATCATCGCGAAAATAGTCAAAACGGATTCAGGGGACCTCAAAACGTAAAAATCCGTCGAAAACTCGAGGTCGAAAAAAATCATGATTCCTATACTTTCCTTATATCTGTATACAGATAGGAAAGTAAAAATGAAAAAGCTTCCAATAACATCAAATTTTTTATCATATAAATAATCATTTAAACATAGTTTTTATTACTCTTGTAAATTTCCTTAAAAAAATTTGAAAATTCTATTGATTATTAAATATTTAAACTTGGAAAAATAATACAACAAACTTTTTCTATAAATTATATTTTTGTAAGGTACAGAAAAACAAACTACAATTGCTACGTTTAGAAAGTACTTCGTATCATTTTGTGACAAATTACAAAGAAAGTCACAGTTGTTATATATTCATAATATATTTAAACAATAATGTAACAAATATTTTATAAAGTACAGAGTATATGTTATGACTGTTTATTCTAATAGAAACCATGGAAACGAAACAAACACACACATACACTCACACAAATTTATAAGGCCCGAGTCGAGTAAGTTCCCATCCTGTAAACTGGATCGAAACCTGCTAGACCCATTCCGTACACCCCCTGCTAACTCCTCTTAGAGTCATCAAGATCAATAGATTTATATACCATGCCTTTTAAAAAGGAATGAAGGATGACATACTATCATCATTTAAACAGGACGTTGCTGAAGGCTTACTCCTGTTATGTCGTCTGTTTTCATTTGTATCTTGTGCGTGTGCATTCCTGTTGTGTTCCCAGGCATGTAAAAGTTTTCCTAGTCTCCTAATTTGGTGACTAGGTGGACCTTCTCCAACTAGTTGTCTAATATATTCGATTTGCTCTGCAGCAGGATAATAAACACTATTTAAAGATGAATACATTTTTGTAATTTTTTTGTCTTGTCCCTTATCAGGGTATATCTATTTTCCATACTCCCTTAATTATTGATTACCTTACGATATTTAAATGAACATAACATTTTACCCATGTAAAATCAAATTTCGAATTTAACTCTTTTTCAATTTCATTTAAAACAATTGGTATATTATAATTTATTATTAAAGAAATCTTCTAATAAAGTTATAGCAGATCCTACTTAAACTACACTGGTTGTTCTGCAGGATAAAATTTTCTTGAGATTGATCTCTCTAAAATCCAAAACCGACCTGATATCCCCAAATTTATTTTCCAATGCATCCTGATTTAAAATTCTGCTCTTTTGTGATTCAATTTTTTTTTTTTTCGTTTAAATGACTCTACAATCTTCTAATAGCCACTAGAGGGGCTATTAGAGGTAGGTGTATGTAAGAAATAGCCAATCTCTAATCATTTCAAAAGTCCTAGCATACATTTTACTTCTTTTTTAGTAGGTGGGAACTTTGTGCTGCCATTAAAGCTGTCGAGACATTCATCTACCTACTTAATAAACAAAAGTAGCTGTAACAATGGATCTCTGTTCCAATTCACCTAAAATAATTATAGCTATTTTGTAATATATTATTAAACACACACATTATACAGTGGTTTTCTTAATAAATTGAAAATTACTTACCTCTAGAAAGAAACGTATACAAAAACACGAGTTTGGTTTCAGAAATTGCTTCATGTGTTTGATTAAAAAATAAATATTTTGTACTTCTCTAATTTAAATTTAGTAATGCTCGAAATTAATCATTTGTTTGCTCTAAGTCAGAGTTAGTAGTTTGTGCAACAAAAGTAGATATGGACAATCATCTCAAATTATTCAGTATATTTTTTCTACGACTCACTAACGAAAATCTACAAATTTAAAAAATTATTTTAGGTTATTAAGACAAAATACTGAAATTTAAAATAATTTGTGAATTTTACTGATTCATAAAATAAACATGAAAGAAAAAGATTTAATTTAATTAGTCTCCAGCCGAGAATCAAACCCGGGCTTTTCACGTGGAAACCAGACGCTCTGGCCTCACCTCCACCGCCACTTTTAGAATTTTAGTTTTAATAGGTACTTTTAATTAAATTATTTTCATATAGATTGATTACAATTTTTTTTTTTTTTTTTTTTTTTCAAAAAATCCTAATATTAAATTTATCAATTCTACACAAAAATAATGTATTTTAATGTATATTTAATACCAATAACTAAAAAATATACTGACAATTAGTTTGACAGAATTGTCACTTATTTAAAATTTTAAAAATAATAGCAGTCGGTTGATCAAAATATGATCTGTGATTGATGGATCTAATTTTTTTGCAGTATTCTCACTACCTAAAATGGGTATGAAATATATTCGTTCAATTGAACGCAATAGCATACTTTTTCGTTTTGTAATCTGTTCGTAAATAAGCTAATATCCATGTGGGTGCAAACAAAAGTATTTCTTGTCTTTCCCAAGAATTATAACTGAAACTTTCTTGACATTGAAAGACATCAAAAAAGCGAGTTATAAAAAATTAATACGGTGGATGTGTTTTTAAAACAATTAGTGGAAAAAATAGAGCCATTTGCAAGTAAACTGTCGCAATGCAACCTAACTAACACTTTCAGAGTTGCACAATATTTATTTTTTATCCTACACTAACAGAAAACTCATCTTTTCTTGGCTAGCCCGGCAAAATAACTAGAAATTACTAGCCAGTAAAATAATCGCATTAATTTGCCGCCAGATGATGCACCACTTAATTTTGGCAGTTCCTTTCACAATTTATTATTAAATTATTTTTGTTGCATTGTTTATAAAGAATAGAAACTTGTGTTTTAAGATATTTATCTATGATTGATGTAGAGTAGACAAGTTGTATTCATTTTTTCAAAATAAATTATAAAGGTAGGTCATATGCTGCAATACACATTACACATACATGTTGTGTGTGTTGCCGTCGAGTAGTTAATATATAATTTCTGGCAGTCTGGTGTCTTTTTCTAAAATATTTTATGTTTATTTTATTTACTTAGTAAAATTCATATTTTATTTCAAAATTACTTATTTTGTCTGAATAAACTAAAATAATTCTTCAAATTTGTAGATTTTCGTTAGTGGGTTGTAGAAAAGAATATTATACAACTCGAGTGGATTGTCCATATCCACTCTTGTTGCACAAACTACTATAATAGTTCTACTATCTTTATTTATATTAATAATCTGTTTTTAGGAACTAGAACATAGTCCTAAAAAGTTAATGCAGACAGGAACTCAGACATCGCCAGAAAACGGAACCAACGGCGCAATAAAAACCAACTTTTCAATTGGAGCTCTCGGAAAAGACGAGAAAGTTTCTCCGAAAATGGCGCGCAAAGAGAGAAACATTTCAAAGATCAGACCCAAAAGGGCAATATCCCCGGCAAATTTGCAACAATTACCGTCCGGCTCTAAAATGAATTACGGATACGAAAATGTAAAACAAGCCATGAGTCCTTCAGTAGCGGAATCGCTTAGAGCTGTATTCGCTGCGTTTTTGTGGCACGAAGGTATGAAAATGTTTAAAATTTGATCAATAACTGTTTTTGACAATACAAGAGATTTCATAATAATTTTAAGTACCTTTATAGGTACTAAAAATGAATTATCAGGAAATAAAGTCTTAAATATGACCACTATAGTTTAGGAGCCCACTGCAAAATGTTGGGTCGATCACTAGTATGGTTAAATTTTCATGAAAACGTCGGGTAATATATTGTACAATAGTAATCCGTCGGCAGCCGCCCCAATATCGTTTGCGTTTTACGTTATAAAAAAATATTAACAATTGAAAATATGTGCCACCCTCCACCCATCGCTTTTTTGCCAAATTTTCTACTTAATCGATAGATAGTAATTAAATATAATTTTCTATACCCGGCTGCCAACCATCATCCTTTGCGTTAAGGGTGGCTGATGGGGCTCAAAAGTACTATATCGATGTTGCTTTTATACACTCATCGCTTTTATAGCCAAACTAAATTCCGTTGCAAAAGTCGCAAAATTTCCAACAAGAAAATACCCGGCAGCCGCGCAAAAGCGTTTGCATAACTTAGGCTGCCGCGATTTTGTGTGCGCGCAAGATTCGATCACGTATGAAATCCGCGCTTTAGATAAGGAGTTTGGGAGTGTGCGCACAGCTGACGTTTATTTGACATGTGTTATTGTCTCTGATTGGAACACGCGAGTTTACGATTAAAGCTAGAGCGTCTCGCTTTCATGTATTCTTTAAATATTTGTTATTCTGTTGTTTTTATAAATATATGGTTTATGTGTTGTTTTTTTATTGTTTTTATTTTTAGTTATGCTTAAAACGTCCCTATATATCTAAAGCAGAGAAAGTTATTAATGTTCAAGAGAGGTAAATAAATAGAGAAGTCTTAATTTTGTTTTTTTTTGCAATTTATAAAAGTATACATCGTTAAAGTTAACAAAATGTGAAAAAAGTAGTTTAAGAATATACACTAAATTCCTCAGAATAATGGTTTTCTGAGTAATTGATATCGGAATAGAGAATCCGGGACAGATGATCCCCCGTACATTTGTTCCCCCGATACATTTGAGCCCCTGTCTTGATTATTCGAATAATGATAAAATTTAAGTGAGATAGTTGCGACCCTACCCCTATTAATCCCAAACAGAAGTAGATTTTTTGGTTTACTGATATATACAGGGTGCTTCAGAGTTAAAAGTACATACGTTAACTGTAAGTGTAACACACTTGGATGATTTGAAATCACCTATTAATAATAAATTTATTAATTTCGCCTGAATTTTTATTTCATCCTGTCTTTATAATACTTTTTAAAAAGAATAAATAGATGTTAATTAAAATTAAAAAAAAAATAGTTAGCAATTTTACATTTTATATTAGCTTAACTGCAATTGAGCCATTGTTTCCATAGTTAAGCATGATTGCTATTTACTGTCAAATAGGTAAGATAGAAATATTTCTGTTTGAAATAAAGTAAAAAATAATTGTTCCTAAAATAAAAATTAGGTTGCTAGGCAATACATTAAAGTATCTGATACTGTTATGTTCCATTTCCCGGAAGTAAATGAGTTCAAAATTGAAATGTGTCACACCTTGCACAGATACTAAATGCAACTAAACATTTCCACATTTTGTCAACATTTTGTATACTATATATTTACTCATTAAAAGGATTAAATCAAGTAACAGCTTTTTATATTCTTAGTAATATTAAAATCAATCATGGTTATTAGTATTATCACATAATCTATCAAAAGATTTAAAGTAACCCTAATTATATTTATATAAACAAGATATTATAGTTGCAAATTACAAAAAAATAAAAAAAAAACAAAAAAAATAAAATACTAAAAAAAATTAAAAAAAAAACTGACAATATCCACTGGATATATCTTTATAAACACGGCGGCATATCTATGTTGACAGTTCTCAGCCTATAAAAAGTATGAAGGGAAGTTATATAATGTCAGTAAACCAAACAAAAATTTTTATTTCATTCTGTCGAGCAAATCTACTTATAGTTTCTTTTAAAGATAATTGTTGCTTTTTCACAATTAAATATCAGTATTACTAATAAATATATTTCTCATTTGCTTCCGGGAAATGGAACTTAACAGTATCAAATACTGTAATGTGTTGCCTAGCAACAATTACTTTTTACTTTATTTCAAACATCTATTTATTCTGTTTAGAAAATATTAAAAAGACAAGATGAAATAAAAATCCAGGAGAAATTTATAAATTCATTCTAGGTAATGAGACGTGATATTATTAATGGGTGATTTCGAATCATCCAAGTGTCTTACACTTACAGTTAATGTATATACTTATAACTCTGAAACACCCTGTATATATCAGTAAACCAAAAAATCTACTTTCATCATTCGACTTCTGTTTGGGATTAATAGGGGTAGGGTCGCAACTGTCTCACTTAAATTTTATCAATATTCGAAAAATCAAGACAGGGGCTGAAATGTACGAGGGCGCATCTGTCCCGACACCGGGATAGACACCGTTGTCATATTGCTCGATAATTTTGTTCTCGTTGATAAATACTCATTTCTTTCGAAATACAATTATTTTCTTACGGGCAATTCCACAACCACTTAATTTTTATTTGTTTCATTTAATCTGCATTGAATGCAGTAGATAGATTTATAATCACATAAAAAGTCAATACGTACAGTTGCTTGCAAATTAATATTTTCAAGTTTAAGTTCATCTCGGTATTTTGGGTTCAAAGTTGTTATTTTCTTTGATATTCGGCGTCATATTGGTTTAGACAACAAATTTCCGTATTTAAATTTTCGCTGCATTTCAAGAAATTACCGTCATTTTTGCATACAAAAAAACGGCGGCTATCCTCGACAATCCCTAAAAAACCAACCTTTTTCGAAAGTATGTGGTTCAAAAGCGAGTAGTTTTTGAAATCTATATCCGTGACTGGCGTTCGATGAGCATTTGTTTTTTAAAACGTGTACGTTTTTAACAAGAAAATAATATGTCTGGCTTTACCGTAAACTGTCTCTATTGTTGAATTCAAGTAATGTGCAGGCCATAAAAAAATAGGATTATTGCCGGGTTTGAATATCCACATGCGATACATTTTTAACATCTCGAGCGTTTGTTTATCCACATCGGAAACATCTACTACATTTACATCTGCGTTTGTTTATCCCAGATGTAGCTGTCCAGATTACATTTTTTTACATCTCGATTTGAAATGAGATGTTCGTTCCATGTCAGAAAGTAGGTGTTCTGTGAAGACAAGATTAATTTATCCTTTTTTATTATAGCGTGAATATAAAAGTGATTAGTGTGTTTAATTTTTGTTTAGATTTCAAATTTAGGTTGATTTTTTGTCTCAAAAGTCAAATTTAAAAAATATAAACTTCTACAATGACATTTTGATTTTAACATGTAATTTATCTAAAACGCTGATTTCATACGTGATCGAATCTTGCGCGCGCACAAAATCGCGGCAGCCTAAGTTATGCAAACGCTTTCGCGCGGCAGCCGGGTATTTTCTTGTTGGAAATTTTGCGACCTTTCCAACGGTATTTTGTTTGACTATAAAAGCGATGAGTGTATAAAAGCAACATCGATATAGTACTTTTCGGCCCCATCAGCCACCCTTAAACGCAAAGGATGATGGTCGGCAGCCGGGTATAGAAAATTATATTTAACTACTATCTATCGATTAAGTAGAAAATTTGGCAAAAAAGCGATGGGTGGAGGGTGGCACATATTTTCAATTGTTAATAATTTTTTATAACGTAAAACGCAAACGATATTGGGACGGCTGCCGACGGATTACTATTGTACAATATATTACCCGACGTTTTCATGAAAATTTAGCCATACTAGTGATCGACCCAACATTTTGCAGTGGGCTCCTAAACTACTATACTCCCCAGACTTAGACTTTGAATGCACCACCATTTTAAATTTAAACGCAAATTTTGAGCGAGAATACGCCATACAAGTGTGACGTTATTTTGGTTCCACTTACAGTTAATTCTAAGTCGTTTTTTAATTGTCAGTTTTGGATTTAATTCAAAGCCGCGCGTAGTTATCACAGACATGACTCGTATATTTATCTTTGTCGATCATAGCTTACTTTACTAACATTTTTTTGTGGGTCACCTTATATATATTTTTATTGACTTAATCAGGTTTTATAGAAGCTAAAATTTTTAGGAATCGTTCATGACGCAATGGCTTGCGCATCTTTTCTAAAATTTCACCCAACTTTACCGAAGCAAGGTGCTTTAGTAGTCACTCGCCATCAAGATATACCCGTCGATAAACGTCAAAAAGAGCTAAGCAAAGAAGAAAAAGCGAGACAACGTCATTCAGTCGAAGTAAGTAACGCCGGAAATTACTTACATATTCAGCCGTCCACTTTGGAATCGTTAACAAGATCCGCGGCAAACGCTAGTGCTAATCGAAACCGTAAAAAACATAATGAAGGAACGATAAAAGAAGAAGGCGAGAAATACGATAGTTATGGATACCATACTATATCCGTTTTGCCGCCGGCATTGAAAGCCTTGGTATATTTATGGGAGGAATTGACTACGAATTGCTTGAGGGCTATGAGTCAACAACAAGTAGCAACGAGTAGTCCTGTAAATTCCAAGGGGAAAAAAGATGATAAGACTGAGAGAGAAAAGAATATCCATTTAGAAAGAGAGATCAAGAAGTACAGAAAAAAGAAAATACCGCCAAGGAATTATTTAGGTAATTTTTTTATTATACAATATTTTATTATGTGTAAAAGTTTAAGTTACGACTTTCGCGCCGAAAGCTTAGTTTAATTTTTCGAGAAACCGGACTGTAGACTGATCTCTTGGCGTCTGGTATTTTATAGTAGAGCGGATAATAAGTCCATATTGACAAAGAAAATACACTCAATTTTCTCTAATATATAAAAAATACTAAATTAAAAAAAAATCTAAACTCTTTAAGATAAAATTACTTTATTTTAAATAGTATATTTCTATTACGAGTGTGAAATATCATTTTTACGCAAGTGGTGTACATTATTTTTCCTTCGATCACAAAATAATTCTATGAAAAAAATATAAAACCACGAAATCTGGCTATAAAAGGTTCAATCAAGATGTCTTTTAATGAAATGAAAAATATTGTGATTCCTTTTACAAACATGAGATGATAAAGGTAACATATTAATAGGTGTAAAAAATATTAGAATACAAAAATGGTTTTCATTCATTTTTTTTAATATAATAAGTAATATATTGAAATAAATTGTCTAATTTTGCGAAATACATTTTTTAATTTTATTTTTTAGATAACACCTAAGCGTGAACGCTTGTGTTGTGTCAAAATTATATAATATAAAAGAATATGTTTTTAGAGTTTTGGGCTAAAAAAAAACAACAAAAAAAAAAACAAAAAAGCAAATGAAATAATTTATGCAGTTTGATGATTAAATATAGCTGTACAAAAACAAAATATACAATTAATATAAAATAAAAATATTTAAACAACAACACTGTGGAAACACTAACAGCCGTATGCATAGTCGATCGCCAGCGACTCGCCAGAGATTCATTTCGGCGTATCGCTAGGATTCGCTGGCGATCCGCCGGCGAAAGCCCAAAAGCTGGCGACTCGCCGGAGATTGTCACCGGAATGTCATTTCACGCAAGTTTTTATTTTTTTTTATAGGGATTATCACCGGTATCTCTCGCATTTTATTCATGATTTATTTCTTAAAACTCAAAAAATAATGAACGAATATCAAATTTTTCCCTATAAAAGAACATGAAAACTTGCGTGAAATGACATTCCGGTGACAATCTCCGGCGAGTCGCCAGCTTTTTGGGTTTTCGCCGGTGGATCGCCAGCGAATCGCTGGCGATACGCCGAAATGAATCTCTGGCGAGTCGCTGGCGATCGATTATGCATACGGCTGTAAGAGACATTATTAAATTATTAATCATTATGCAGCATTACAATTGGCGCATTTGAATATACACATCGAATGCATCTGAGATGTTGTGAATTTTTTATCACGTGATAGAGAATTAGATCTGAACGTAGATATAATAAACAAATGCTCTAGACTTTATTGGTCACGTGATAATATGGCAATGACCAGATAAAAATTGTAGCGAATTTAATAATTGTAAAGTCACAAATATTTAGTTTGAAGTTAATAGTAAACGATATCCTGGATTTAGATTGGGATAAAAAAAAATATACTATTGCATATGACATATTAACTCACTACAAGAAAGTGTTTGTTAAAACTCATAATGAATTACCCCTGATATATATTAATCCAAAACAATTTAAAAATGGTCTTCGAATCCAAAAGCAATATTCTTTTACACGTTGATTTTGATGTACCAGTACCACCTAATACCATTTGTTATATTTGTATGGTGTCTTACTCTGAATTTATATATGGCATTGTTAACAACACAGTTCGAGAGAATATACATATAAGTTTCTATCAATTTTTTTTCTACTTATAAATGAAGTCATATTGTGTTAAATGTAAAAGTAAGACGGATAATATAAATACACAATTCATTAAAACTAAAAACAATATAAAACTGTTATTAACAGTGCTGTTCATAAACTGGGAAACAGTAATAAAGCCTACACAGAACACGAGGCTAATAACCGTAGCAGTTGATGCCGATGACACAAAGTGCTCTATTTGTAATATAAATAAAACATCTTTTATAAAAAATAATAATAATAAATGGAAGGTAGTCAATTTTGTTATAGTTCACCACAAAAACCAAATTCTAAAGAAGAAAATAAAATTATAATTAAATGGATTATTGTAGAAAGTGTAAAAAACAAACTAAAAGCATTGGTCTTCCTAAATTTATTAAAACGGATAAACATTGGAGGAGAATATCGACTTGTAAAGTTTGTGCATCTGTTAAAAATAATATTTCCAAGTCACCAGAAGATATTGAAATTGAAGAGTTATTTAAACCAGCTAGAAAAAATGATACTTGGCAGGTTGATTTATACGTTTTTTATAGACCTAAAGGAAAATTAGAAGATCATTCATATAGTTTGAGAACAAAACATGAACCAATTGATAATCATTATAAACAATTATTAAGGGATAATGAGGAATATAAATATATTTTAAACGTGATTGATACATTTTCAAAGTATGTTTGTACCTTTAAAAACAAAAACTGGGGTTGAGGTTGCTAACGCTTTTGAAGATATATTTAATGAGAGGAAACCAAAATTGTTACACGTTGATAAAGGTAAGGAGTTCTATAATAAGGATTTTAAAAATGTTTTGAATACATACATTATTAAATTATATAGTACAGGTTCTGAAAATAAGGCTTTCATAATTGAAAGATTTAATAGAACTTTAGGAGATAAATTAAAACCAATTTTATATAAAAATCTTAGATGGGTTTCGGTGCTACCAAATATTGTTAAATTAAAATGAAACCAATTGAGGTTAATAAGAAAAATGAAACTCAGTTGTTAATAACTGTTTATAATTATAAAATTTCTCCTTTGAAATATAAATTTGAAATAGAAATCGAGTTAGACTCTCATCGTACGTAGATCAATTTCGAAATAAACTAAAAACCAATTGTATAACTGAAATATTTACGATTATTAAGATGTTGAAATCTAATGTTAATTATTACAAAGTTAATGATATTGAAGAAGGTATTTATGAAGATGAGCTACAATTATCTAACTTATAAAATCCATATGGTAATGTATTGATTTTATCTTCTGTTTCAACTGTATATAAATTGAGATTCTTAGAAATGAGTCCATAGATTATTTCATGTGTTGTTTTAGTATTTAACAAACAATTCTTATACATGTCAAATTTCATTTTCTCGATATTACATTTTTTTATACCTTTACATATCTTTTTTTCTTTTATATCATTTCTAAACGCATACATTTTCGATCTTAAACCAATCCATTCTCTTATTGGAATTCCTAAGTATTCATCTTTAAATATGCCTGGAACTTTCTTATTTTTTTGTTGCATCCAATCTATTAAATAATCTGATGTATCAAAATATTTTATATTTTCTTTCATGTCTTCATAAACATCATCTGTTTCAACATAAATAATTAAAGAATCTGTGTTCGTTCCTAACAACTTAATTTTATTATTGTATTTAGTTTTTAAATAGTAATAAAATTTATACATTAATAATTTTGATAGTTCTAATACAACGAAACCACCATAGACTAGTTTATTAAGTTTTATTTTAGTTTTTCGTCGATATAAAAGAACATTGTCTTCATCAATAATTAACTAGGTAGTGTTCTGATTAATTTCACGTCACATCTTGATCTTACGTTTTCCATTTGCTTTCCATACATTGCATTATTCATTAGTTTGTAAAAATCTTTCTCAAAATCATTTTGAGCTTATTTTCTTAATTCCATATTTTTATCTATGTAAGGTTTAAGCCACGCCTTCTATTCAAATTTGTTATAATTTTTAACTTCTTTTAAAATGATTCCTTGTCTTAAACATTTTTTTAACATTCTGAAATCGATAACATAATCTTTCTTTAATTTTAGGGTATTTATTAGTTTTGTATTTTTAGGTTTCGTTCCAATATTATTTCAATCATTTCTTTTTGATATGTTGATAACTCATCATAATCAGGTACGTAATGTTCTGGAAGTAATGGATAGTCCTTAAATTTATCATGTAGTTCTTTAGGAAACTCTAAATCTACAATAAATGTATATCCAATGTATCATTATCTTTTAACTTTAATATCTTTTCTGAAGTATAGTCGCTAGGTTTCATTTTTAAACTTTTGAGTTCTGGATCAGTTTTTATTTCATCTTCTCTCTCATTATATCCAACAAATTTTCCGATTGGTGATGGTTGTGATAACGCATTTCCATATAAATTATTTGGGTCTAAATACATAATATAACTAATATGTTTTTTACTATTATATATTCCTTTTTTCTCAGCTTTTTCTTTACTTTGTTTGATTGTCTTAGCTTGTTTTTCGTCATAGAAATAGCAATTATTTGCTATAGCATGTCTATTTGGAATCTTGATATTCCACCTGTGATTCCACGTTCATATGTTTCGTATAATTTTTAATCTGTTATTAATTCTAATGTTTGACATGTTTCTTCTTTTAATTATGCTGCATCTGCTAAATTGGGAGCTGAAATATAGTAAACAGGATCTAATTTATAATTCTTATAACATGTTTCTCTAAAGTTGTCAAACACATCTTTAGCAAAGTTAAAGAATGCATCCTTTATATGTTTATCATTTAAAGATGAATACCAGTCTCGTTTATTTAATGGATAAACAATTTATTAAATTATTTCATAATATTTTTGAATTTAGTGTATTCAACTGGTTTGCTTACTAAATTATCACATTTTCTACAGTTAGCCATTAATTTTAAAACATTATTTTCATTAATGGGTAGAAATTTAACATTTATTATTTCTTTTTTAGAATTACATTTAGCACAATAACAATTATTAACAGCAGCTAAATTGTTCACTGCTTTGTCAAGACTTGTACTTATAAATCTAAATGTGTCTATAAATATGAATTCCATTTTTACATTTTGAATTTCCCCTTTCCGTTTGATAACCATCGATAATTTTGTTGTATATTGGTTTTTTATTGCATTTATTACATCGAGAATAATCATAGGGTTGTTCATATTCACAAAACAATTACTTTCTTTGAGAACGTGATGTAGTTTTCTTTGGAGTTTGGAATTATATTAATGTCCGAATAGTTTTCACTCAATTCAAGAATCCATCTTAAAAATATCATTGAATCATATCTAAGGTTGTGAATTTCAATTTGTATAAATTTTGGTAATGCTAAATTTAAAATACAACTGTTACAAACCCTCTGAATATTCCTGTAAAATGGTTAAGATCCCTGACTTTTTGACCCTCATTCTCGAAAACTTACAAATGTGTCACTTTTTTGCGTTCTGATAATCTATGAATGCATCATCATTGTCCCAAATCATAGTCTTATTTTGTTTTCTAATTTGATTATATCGTTTTCCATAATAAATAAGTTGCTAATTAAATGTTGTGTGACATTTGTTACATATATACATTAGATGTTGTATTTTATGAATTTGTCCACTTAATAGAGTGTTGAATTTCTTAATTCCAACTATATGATTTTCATAATTAACATGTTTATCATATTTTTGATGATTGTGGCTTAAAAATAGGTTTCTCAAATTTATAAACATTAATATACTACTCTAGGCTGAGGGGTAATTCTCCGAAGCATTTGCATTCTTACATCATATCTGCGTTTATTTTCACCTATTATCAAATCCATCATACGAGTTAAACAAAAATCATCGTTATTGCCTTGTATATTTCCTGAGCAAACATTATCATTAGAAAAATCGTTACCCTCAAGGCTTGATCCATTTTTCTCAGACATTTTGTTTCTTGGGTTTCAGACAACAAAAAAAAATGATACTTAAAAATAAAAACTCGAAAAATATTTTTTTAAAGTATGTCAAAATAAAAGTATTACTTGTTTATGGTTTAGAAGATCTAGGAGGACTGTCGAGTTACCTCCAAGCTTCAGGAGTAGAAACTTTGTGCGAACTTTGCGGGGATACATTTCCTCATCCTGTAACGTACCACATGCATCAAGTGCATCCTGGATGTGGACAACACGCGGGTGGCAAAGGTTACAACTCAGGCGGAAGTTATTGCTTAGGATGGGCTGGAAACTGTGGGGATGGTGGAATTCGTAAGTAAAGCTGTAATTTTAAAATAATAGTGACGATTACTTTTAAATTCGATCCAAATATCTTTCATAAATCGTTTGTATTGAAGTATAATAACATTAGACTGTCTAAACAATTACACTTTAAACTGAACTTTACATTTTTAACGATTTTTTTTTTCTTTAATCGGTTATTAATCTACAATATTATCATTTTGTGTAACTTGATGACAAACAAGTTTACTATTAGCCGATTTCTTGTTTTAGCTGGAAGTTCTTGGTACTTATTATGCGAAAATTGTCGCGAAAAATACATGAAATCTCTCAAAACCGGGAAGCAAACAAATTTTCATCATAGATCCGTCATAACGAAAAAAAATATGCCCACCAAATCGTTTCCATCTCCGGCAGTAGCGGCAAATTTAGAGCCGCATATAATTATGAAAAACAACGCGATGTTTTTATTAGACCTTGCCAGTTCGGCAGACACGAGTATGACTCACCAACGGAGACCTTCTTCCAGCATTATGCCGTCTGTTTCTGAAAATATTTCTCCTCCCGACTATTGTGGACCATTCAGACCGCTGCCGTCTTTTCAGTGTTTAAATTCGTTTGGAGTGAATTTAATTTCTGATGAACCAGGAATATATAACGAGATGTTACAGAAAAATGAATGTTCAGATAATTTCCCTCCAGGTCCTTCCACTTCTGGACAAAGAGTGAGTAAAAATAATTATGTAAATGCATGAAAATAATTGTTTTTTTATTTTCAAGCCTCTATCTGAAATATCTATTAGTGATGATTTGGATGGTACGAAAGGAATGAGATTCCACCGTTCAGTTTCAATGGGAACAAATGGAATACCTTGGGCAAAATCTGGATATGATGGACGAATTATTATGTTAAGAAAACGAAATAATAGCAGTTGCGAAATGGCTAACGGTAAATTAAAAAATAATATAAAATAACACAATTATTTCAACTATTTTTTATTATTATTAGAAGGAGGTTCGTCACTTCTATGTAATCCATCAAATGCTCTCCAAAAATTGATTCCTAAGAAAGACAATCCTTCATCGGCTATTGTTAGAACTGATACCAACAACGATGTCAATAACGAAGAATTCGCTTTATTAGAGAGGCCCGTTTTGCAGTTCTTACTTCATCAACATGATTTGGAATCGTTGCATCTTGCAATGAAACAAGCTCTCAGGTAAATAACTACAAATAATAATAATAATAATTCATGATTACTAAAAAAGATTGATGTATTTTTAGGAAAGCTATGTGTCGAGTGTACGCAATGCAAGCTTTAAATTGGTTATTACGATCGGTAACGCAACCGATTTGCATCCACGATCTGCTATGGTGGTTTGTGACATCTTTAACACCCGTAGAGATGGAAAATGAACCAGAAGATGATAACCATTTACCAAAAAGAGAAGATGAATTGGTAAGAAACTACAAAATAAATAATATACGATATTTATCAGAGAACTAGTTGATCAGTGGACAGTTTAATAGTTTAACTGTTCCACTGGTTCTTGAAAGGTTTGCATCAAATTTAAAACGAACCCGAAGAAACCTAATATACTATGAAAATATTATTAATATGATAAATGTAATGCAAATAATTTTACAGGAACTGAACATTTGCGAACACCCTTTATCGGATATTACTATAGCAGGCGAAGCTGTACATCCATTACCAAGTATTTTCCATGCTCTTTTACAAACAATTGCTGATTTAATGGTGTTGTTGCCAATGAGTTCGCCATTGCAACAAATTGCGGTTAGATGTTGGGGTATAAGATTTGCTTCTTCTGATCATTCATTTCTTCACAGATCTCAGGTAACGTATTATGTTTATGGTTTTATAGATAATACAATTAGTGAGATATATTCGTGGTTAGGTTATGATGGAATATCATGGATCTCAGGCGGAGAGCGTAAAAATGGGGGAGACAATTCTAACAAACAGTTAAGAACCACGCTCACATAAGGGGATCAATTGATAGAAATGGAAAGGTGAGAATATCAGCTCCACTTCGGTCTGGGTATTAATGTTCAAAAAATGAACAGCGAGGAACAAGAAGTATTTAAAAAAAAAGTCCGGTTTTCCCCGGTGTGATCAATTTTCCCGATTTCCGGAAAATGGAGCAACTTTATTAAAAAAAAAAATACATTCGAAAAGTAGACATTCTAAGCTTTAAAATGGTGTGCATTGAATAACAATATAATGAAATATGAGTTTTTAATTACTGCTTGTTTCAAAGATTTCTAGAACTCCGAAAACGTATGAAAAATGCAAATAAACAAATCAATTTTGTTTTAAAACGCCAGGAAGATACTGGATAAAAATTTCTGAGATCATTCGAGACATCTCAAGATCCCATTTAAAACAAAAATGGGATAAAAAACTATTAAAAGTTAAAAAAATATGAATGAATTACTATAAAGTGGTCCAAAATAGTGAGAAAACGCAACTTTGATCCCTTTTTCAATGTTCTTGACAAGAAATAACGGGCTTCACATGGATCGATACCTATGGGTTTTCTCATTGTAATGAACTTTCAATCATCGAAAAATATCAATTTTGACCGAGTTCTGAAACAATTTGTCCACCAGTTTACAAGCTAATCAGCATTGCTATAGAGATAAAGCAGGGGCTGTGCGAGGGGGCTTTTGATTGCAGTTATCTCGAAACCTGTCAAATTCCCGACAAAAATAATAGGAACCATTTTTGTAGACAATGATAAGATTTTTCTTTTTTATCTAAACAAAAATTCTCTAATTTGCATATTGTGGAAGATATTGGCGGGAAACCAGTTTTAAGGTCCATTTTGGACCCTTTCCGACGCAGCAGAGTTGGTAAAAGTTTTAGACCTTGGAAGCGACTGCCGAGACCTAAGAGTTGAGCCCCAATGGAAATCTGGACCGACTTAATGACAGGTTGGTCCCTTCAGTTACTGGACTATAAATCAACACATATAATCCAGTTATTTTCCACATATTTAATTTTGTCCAAAACCAGAGCAATAGTTGTATATTCTTCTTTTACTTTTGTAGAATGTGCAATAGGCAACGACCGTAATTTATTCCCATTGTGTAAGAGAACACATTTTAGACTCCGTTTTGATGAGTCTATGAATAAAGGCCACTCACTAGAAACATAATTTTGTAATCTCATTGCAGCCATGAATCCAGGTACATTTTTACAAAATACGAAATTGTCTTGTTCAGCAAAATATTTGTGGGGTAATAAGAAATTTTAGTTTCTTTCGTTACCAATTTTCTTTCTTTTAGCCTTGAAGCCAGCCTTTGACAGTCCCAGATCTCTAATTAAGTCGTTTAAATCATCTTGATTGAATGGTTTTGGCGTTCCCAGGTCGCATTCAAAGTCACTACTGTCGTTTTTCGTCTCAAAATCTTCTGGCTCTTGCTGTAAAGTACCAGATTGAGGTTCAGGTGTAGACTTGGGACTCAGGACACGTCTAAGTGCCGATTGTATGAAAGGATACTCCCATTTGGCTCGATTTTTTCTGTTAATACCAGTTATGTTCACCAAACAAAAATAACAATCGTCATGCTAGTTCATGGGTTCATTCCAAATCATAGCGGTTTTGTACCTGAAGCGATGTCTTTTCTTATTTGTCCATAAACGTAGGAACTCAACGCATGTTTTGCATACCTTGTGTAGAATCCAAGGCTTATTTTTCATTTACCGGAAATAATCCAAAAGAACACATGTCTTATTTAAAGTTAAATTACGAAGACTATTTAGTACCGTTCAATTGTCATTTCAGTAAGATTAAAGCAACTGACGCCCTGACAAAAATTGATCATTTATTATATGTTGAAAATGTATTAAAATTCAAAATAGATTACCCGATTTAATGACAATTTATACAGCAAAACTTATAGCAGTTAAAGAGGCATACAACATATATACAGAACAAAAAGAAATAGATTATATAATTTTTATGGAATGCAAAAGCATTGTTCAAAAATTAAAAGTTATTACAATTAACAATGAAATAAAAATAAGGAAATTGTAGATTTGCCAAAAAAATGATAATATCATCGTAAATTCATATCAAGTCCCAAAAGGCGATTTAAACTACTAAATTAAATTATTTGAAATAAGCAAGTGGCAAGACAATTATAACTATTATAACTAGAGCAAGATACTCTCTATAGTCTATACAGTAGTTGTATTGGAACGACTTGCAGAATTAGAAGTAATCATTGCCTGACTCCAAATTATAAAAGAAGAGTGGGATTGGTAGACAATGATGAATATATCTGCGGCGAGTTAGCCGATTTACAACATTTACTTTTAGAATGTATTTTAAATGATATTGACATATCAATTCTATATACCAAACTTATTCAACATAATGTCCAACTACCTATTAATTTGTCACACCTTCTCGCGCTCAAGGATCTCGATATATACAAAATTATTTTAGATTAAGGCAAAATAACTAAGCACCCTAGCCCAGATTCGAACCCAGGCTATTCGCGTGGAAGGCAGATGTTCTGCCGCCACTTTTATGTTTTTAGTTTTAATACTCGTAATTAAATTAGTTTCATATAATTTGATTAAGGGCCAGTCTTTTTACCTCTGAGTAAAGTTGAAAGTAACTACTTGCTGATTAAACTAAAGGGCTACTGTTAATCTGTCAAGTAAACTTACATGAAACTTTACTCAGATAATAATAATAATAATACTCTCCCTAATTCACCCCCTTACGAGTGAATTTTAACCCCAAAAGCTGAGCTTATGTGGGGAAAGGGACGGATATTATTATTATTTGCCGTAGCGCTCCGGGTCGACTTAAAGATGATTGATGGTGCCATTTGACTTACAGATGAGGAAACCCCGGAAAACCTCACCTACCATCATCGAGACGGTAATGCATGGCTATTTTTTAATCTGCATGTCATATCAACAGAAATTGAATTTCTATTAATACGGCACACATCAAATCCTAAACCGAACCATGCAATTTAATTAAAAATCCACATGGTGTGCGATTCGAAGCCCAGCAGTCTCTGACTCATAAACTTGCCTTTAAATGAATAAAAGCGCGTTAGACCGCTACACCGCCTTAAATAAATTATTGTCCATTATATTTTCATTAGAATCAAAAAACCAAATCTTATAATATTAGTATTACAATTTAAATCAACGTCAATATCTTTTATAGGTTTTCAGCAATATTAGCAAAATTTTATCAAGAAGCGAAGAATTAGAAGATTTTACCATCTCCATGCACGAAAGTCACCAAAGTATTATACACCAAGTTACTTCCGTAGTCGAATGCTTAAAGGATTTAACAACTACATTAGAAATAAAAGCTTCCAGTAGACAAGCTATGGTCGGAAGCTTAACAGACAACTCGACAGAAACGTTCTGGGAAAGCGGCGATGAAGATAGAAATAAAACTAAAAGTTTGACGATAGTTTGTCCTCAAGGACACCACCCAGTTTTGATTTGTATACATATTGATAATTGCAGAGATTTAGGGGTAAGTTTTTTTTCTGTTTATTGTACCGAAGGATTTTAATAATATACAAAAATAAAAAAAATTAAATTTTTTAAATGTTTGTTGGGATATATTAAAATATTCTATTAGTTGATTTAACTTTTTAAGACAGATTTTTACTGGAACAAGTTAAATAAGTAAATTAAAATTAAAAACAAGTTCAAACTCTATTTTCGAAACAATTGCTTTTTTGATGTAATGTCATTGGAAATATTTCAGAACAAGATATCGTCTATAACATTTTTTTCGGGACAACACACTGACGAATTAGTAAAATTAAGAACAGTCGAAGTAGAGACTAGACTGTTGGGAAGTTGGGTCAGTTGCCCCTTAACAGGTGAGACAGTATTCTACTAGCGCTTCTGTGTTGCATGGTTATATGATTTTTTTTTAATTTTTAGTTATTTTGAATGTATTATTTGTCAGTAGTTTGCTATATTTTCAGCTATATGGTTAGATTATTGCAAAAGTTCTTGCTGATATAGTTGATAATTTAATTTATATTTTATAAATCACTCAGTATGTGTGTTTCCTTTTTGTGATTCGTATCAAATATAGACCAGGGCTGAAGTCTTTAAAAATGGTAAAAAGTGAAAAAAATAATAGTAGGATGAAACCCTTTGGAAAAGGAAGAGAATATAACAAAAATGAAAGAAAAAATAAGTTTTTAAAGGTAAAAACGATTTATCTCGGTAAATGTTCTCAGAAAATGCAAAAAAACGAAAAAAACTCGAATTCAAAATTTTATTTATTAAAATTTACACTTTAATTACTCGAAAAACATAAGATTCCATGTTACATTGATAAACAAAAAAATTACAAATCCATAAAACATAAAGATTGTAAAAAAACATGCGAAAATAGTTGTTCTAATATTAATGATAGGATTTAAAGGGGATTTCAACTAAAAAATGTGACTGCTGCAATTTTTTTCAGTAAAAAAGTTGATATATTAAATTCTAATTACATTTATAATAATAATAATAATAATAATAATAATAATAATAATAATAAGAACGTTTATTCAGTAAGCCAATGGTATAAAACATAACAGCATTATAATGTAGCGGATATCAAGAATATAATAATAATAATGAAAAAGGAAAATGAATAATACAATAGAAACCTACCAAAATATGAACTTACTGAAAAGGACATATTCATCGTCAATCATACAAGATGAAAGAAGATGGTTTTCAATATATCCTGATGTAAAAAGCACAAAAAAAAGGTATTATAACAAAGATTATAATAGTAAATCCCACAAAAAAGAGACAAACAAAATTATTAATTAAATAATAATAACTAACACCAATATCTAATTATAGTACCTATCTAACAATAATAATAATACTACAATAATTATTAATTGATGCGAAGCATCAATGAAAATATTTTTGATAAATCTTAAATTTTAAATGATACTTCCATGTCACCATTTAATATATAACATTTTATTTTACGCTTTAATGCACTTACAGATAAGTTTTTAAGTTCAGGGGGGAGAGAATTGATTGTTTTATAAAATATGTAAGTAAAAGAGCTTTCAAACATCTTAGTCTTGTGTTGCGGGATTGATACAAAATTTCTTCTACGGATATTAAGATTATGAACATCGCTTCTGAACCTTATCTTGTTATGTAAATATGACGGCGTTTTAAATAGTAAAAATTTTTGAAATAGGCAGCAGGAATGCAAAAAACGAGCTTGACTTACTGTCAGCCATTTTAGTTCACTCCTTTTACGAGAAACCCGTTGATTTTTTTTCAATTTATAAATTAATCTAATGCAGGTATTTTGAATGCGCTGAAGACGCTGGTTAATGAATTGAGTAATGCATGGTCCATAGACTGAATCACATAAGTTCAAGTGAGAAAATACAAGCGATTCACATAATAAGATTTTAGAACGATGATCCAGGGTGTCTTTATTGCCGTAAATCATTTTTATATTCGTTACACATTTTTTTATTATATTATTAATGTGTTTTTCAAATCTAAGATCAGTATCAAGGAATACATCCAAGTTTTTTGCGATATGTGTATTAGGCAATATTTCATTGTTAACTTTAATTTTAAGTTGATCATTGTAATTAATTCTATCTTTTTTCCTGCCAAACAGCATAACATGAGATTTAGAGGGATTTATATCTAAGCAATAGTCATTAGATAATTTAAAAAGTAAATTTAAATCAGAATTTACTTTGGCTATGCTTTCTTCAAATTTACAAGCAGGGAATGAAAGGTAAATCTGAGTATCATCCGCATATTGATGAAAATTGCAATACTTCAGTGAATCTGGGAATAAAGATGTATAGATGCAAAACAATAAAGGCCCCAAAATAGATCCTTGACGGACTCCATTTTCTATTTCTAGTGAAGAAGATAATTTATCTTTATATTTAACATACTGCATTCTATTTTTAAGATAGTTATCTATAAGACATTTCGCATTTTCATTAAAACCTAGGTGGTGTAATAGCCCTATTAGCATTGCATGATTTATTCTGTCAAACGCCTTGCTATAGTCTAATAATACTAAAACTGTAAGGTGATTTTGGTCAATAGCTCTAATAATATCGTCAATGACTGAGAGTAGGGCAGTGTTGCAACTGTGATTGGGGCGAAAACCAGATTGATTAATAGGAATAATATTATAATAATCTAGGAAGGTTTTTATTTGTTGATAAATAACTTTTTCCATAACTTTAGAAGCTGTGCAAAGAATACTTATAGGCCTGATATCTTTAAATTCATTTGGATTTTTTATTTTGGCCAATGGAATTACTTGCGCAACTTTCCATTGTGATGGAAAAATTGCGGTACTGATAGAACTGTTAATGATGTGAGTTAAATATTTTATTACAAACGGACAGCAGTAAAGTAACATGTCCAGTCCAATGTCATCAGCACCAATAGCTTTAGATTTTATTGACAATAATATTTTATACACATCATTCTCACTGACTTCGCTGAAATGAAACTTGCCAAGTCCTTCTTTTCTGCTAGAGTTAAACTTTTCCAAAATAACTTTGTTAATTTTATGCTGTGACCGAGAAGAGTTGATAAAAAAATTATTTAACATATCGACGTCAGCTAAGTTATTAGGAATTTCGTTATTTTTATCATTAGAGTAAATATTAAGTTTCTTTATTTCGCTATAAAGTGTTTTAGTTGAAAGATTATTTTTTAATTTGTGGGCTAAATAAGCTTTTTTCTCGTGAGATACAGCTCTGTTAGTAAAGTTTCGTAACTCTTTATAATATATCCAGTGAGATTCTTTTTTAGTTCCTTTAAAACGACTTAGAGCATTGTCCCTTAATTTAAACATTAATTTGATATTTTCAGTTATCCAGGGTTTACTTTGTTTTTTTTCATGTCACTTATGTCACTTATCCATTAGTTTTTGACTCTTTGATGGTATTTCTTTTTCGTTAGATTCGACAAACCTTCCCGATTCTAGTAGATCTTCGAAATCTTCAAGACCATCACTGTCTTCATCTTCAATATTATTTCCAGTCTGCATTGGTTCTTCATTTACAATTTCATCTGAATCATTAACTTCTTCGTAGGTTTTTTTCTTCCACATTGGAGCATTTTTCAGAACTATGATAATTTGAGCATAAATTTGTTAATTTTAAACCATATTTTCTCAAAATATTGATACACAGCACCCTGCAGTATCCTGCGGCTGGTATAGGAAACGAACGAATAAAAAAAAGAAGCGGAATGTTACTCATCGCCCTGCAGCGTGCTGGGGTCGTAATAAGTAACAGTACAAGTAAAAGAAGATAGAATAGTCCAGAAATGTCCTGTATCATATTTGCTACTTTTTTTTGTTTAGAGCAAATGGGAGTCTTATAGGTGCTTGTCGTATTGGTCTTGCGTTGCCTGTATAAATTCTATGCTGAACAAGACTGGTACGCCCCGTAGATTTTCCTATCTAGAAAATGTCATAATTGGAATTGATAAATTCTTTGACTTTTTTAAGTTATTCAGCTGTCAGGTGGTCGCAATTTTTAACTAGTTGTTTTACAAAGCTGACATCAACTGAGTTACCTGTGGTGGCTTTCCCCATGGAACGGTCTTCGCACTTGATTATGTTTTCCACGGGTGTACAGAGCCCTAATTCTTATCCTTTCTTCAGTTTAAATAAATTGGCAACTCTTACTGGAATTAGTTTATCGACATTAACAAGACCTCTAGCTACCAGAATTCCGTCACTCACAGATTCTTCACTTTCCACAGTGCCCACATGTAAGCCGTGTGTTTTCTCGCTAAGCTTCAGAATTTTGGGATACTTCTACGTCTTCTTCTACTAGGACCTTTATCGGTTAAGTCTTTTCTTCCGAATTTAGGACAATTTCCTCGTTTCCAATTACCAAGATCTTGTTTTGAAGGTCGATGATAAATTTATTTTGCATAATGTCCATACCAAGGACACACTGATCTTTAATATCGGTCACCAAAAATAAATATTACCAATCTGTACGGTTGCTGATATTTCGCCTAGAACAGGAGTAGTGTGCTCTGTGGCTGTTTCTAGAACTTTGCAGGATATTTAAGATTTAAGATAGACATTGACCTCTTATAGAGCTTGATTTTTCTTGAAATTTTTAAGTTGACATCATTTTTCGGATGGATGGACAAAGTATACCTATAATACTCATATCAGACTACTGTGCAAAGAGTATAACTAGGATCCCATAGTAACATTGTTGACAAATAAAAACGTTAGAGCCAAAAACCGAAAATCCAAATAACTCTGAAACTGTAATGGATATGTATGGGATCTTTTCACACCAACTTATGGTCGTTAAGAAATAAGCCAAGCTTAAAATGACATTTTTCCATTGACAATGTCAATTTAAGCTTAGCTTATTTTTTAGCTACTAGTGGTACGAATGGCCCTATGAGTTCCTACACCAGAACTACGAATTTGTGTAAGTGTTCAACTAACAATTGCTAGGACTAACACTTTATTTTCTTCGCCAATACATCAAATGGTAAAAGTTTATCCACAATCTGGGCCTAGATATATTTTGTACAAGCCCAAAAAAAAAATAAAATCAAATCTTAATCTTAATGACCATTAGTATCATGCAATAATTAACATTTTATAGAACTCTTAGTCCAATGCGCCAAAACCTACTTATTTTAATTTTCATATTGTATAAATGTTCTAACTTATTTTTGTTTTTTGTACATTTTCCCGTCACCCTGTAATTGACATAAGCTTTGTTGGGTTTTTAAATCCTAAGATACAATTTTTTCACCGATTTGAACTTCACTTCCCAATATTTTTAATGCAGTTTTGAAATAATCATTTTCCACTTACCATTTATGTTTTTCATTTCAGATTTTGCGCATAACGTCTTAAGATTAGAACTAAAAGGACCTGATAACTCTGTAAGAGTAAGACAAATACGGGTCCTTGGAAACATTGAAGGTGAAACCCTAAACGTAGGAAAACAGTATTTGGCTAGTACACTCCAACAAAAGTACTGTGAAGGAGAGACACTTAGAGTATTTAGACTTATAACATCCCAAGTCTTCGGCAAACTGTTACAGGGCGAGGATGGTCAAAACATTAATAATGGCGATTTACTTAACGGTTCTGGATCTATCAACGAAAACACGGACCCGAACGAAGAGAGTAACGATCTAAGAGAACATGTCGTAGGAATTTTGTTTAGTAGAAGCAAATTAACCCATTTACAAAAACAGGTAAATCTATAGTATTCCATTTAAACGTTCTATTTTCTTAATGATATTTTCCTCAGGTGATAGTTCATATTGTGCAAGCCATCAGAAAAGAAACTGAAAGAGTTCATGACGAATGGGAGTCAAATCTTTGTACATCTTCAGGATTTTCAAATCAAAGCCAAGAGGGTACTAAAAATTCGGATACGTACTGCTTCGAAATGTTATCCATGGTTTTGGCGCTATCTGGTAGTTCAGTAGGAAGAAAGTATTTGTCTCATCAAACAGATCTGATTGGTGATATTTTAACATTGTTGCATACAGGCAGCGCTAGAGTACAACGACAGGTATTTATAATTTTTATATAAGATTGAATCATATTTATTTATTTATCTATTTTTCCAGGTAACCTCGTTGTTAAGAAGAATTCTACCAGATATTACTCCGGAAGCTTTTGCAAAAGTTGTAGGCGTGAAAAAGTTACCAGCAAGAGATTTTAGCATTGTTTCAGTTGCTAACAAAGAATCATTCAGCAGCAGTTTTGACGTAAATCAGTAAGTTGAGCATGTTATAAAAATGCTTTTCTTCACTAGTCCGTAAAGAAAAAAAAAGTAAATTTTATATTTCTTATATTAGTGGAAAATGTGTAAAGTCTTTACACACTTGTTAAATAATAATAAATAACTCTCTTTTTAATTGATAAATATTCTAGGCTGGGAATTCTGGACGTGTTTCTAAGCGTTATAGCCAAAGCGCTTACACTTCAAGTTAAAGTCAGAGGAAAAACTGGAGCAGGAGGAACTCCTAAAGAAGTTACAACTGTTACTCTAGCTACATCGATACAGCCAAGAGATGTTCTAGGTGTAAGATGGTGGTTAAGAGGATCTGTCAATAAGAAGTTATCCGAAGTTATTATTAATCTCATTAAAGATATGGCTGGTGTAAGTAATGATTTTAAAATACACATACTATAAATGAAATTGAACATTTGGTTATTGATCACTGATCAATTATAATTTGTAGATAGGACTTTAAAATATGCTTGATCGATTAGGAAATATTTAATTCCTAATTTTATATCTAAAATAACAGCTTTTGATTTTATAATTATTGTGTAGGTACAGGGTTATTCATTATAAATTACCCACCCACTATCATCGTTATTATTGCATATAGAAAAAAAAGTTTTGAATAAAAGTTGAGTAGTTATGACCGAATTTTGTTAAAATTCTATTAAAAATACAGTAGCGTGCAGATTTTAGGGGATAAATGCAATAAAAATGTAACTTGGACCAGTTTAGCTTCCACCTAACCATCTTTATTTTAAGAAATGCTTTTATTTTCCAGGGAAAATTATCAGAATGTTGGGCAAATATAACCAAGGGTGCGATTGCAGAAAATATACTACACCTAACATATTTGTCCGAAGATCAAAGAGTCCCTTCCACCTGTTTACGGACACCAACGTTGTGGCTGGCTTTGGCTTCGCTTTGTGTTTTGGATGAAGACCATGTAGAACGTTTAACATCAGGTAAATCAGTAAAATTAAATTATGAGATATTTCGTGTTAAAGTTTTTTGTTTGGCAGTTATTCCCTAGTACATGGGTCCTTTATCCACTGGCAACTTCTATATTTGATGATATATTGTCACAGAAGACATTTTAATCGATTTTTAGGTACATAAATCCCCTTCATTCTCAGAAAAACACCATTTAAAAAAATGTTACATGTGCCCTTCATCCATTTGTGTCTTCAATTAATTAATCTACAGTTAAATAAATTAAAATTTTGCAGGACAATGGAGCCAACCTGAAGGTCAAGCGATACAACCAAGACCAACTTGTTGTAATCATGATGATGGAGAAACTGTTGCGGTAGTTCAGTGTAATCATTGTGGAAATCTGTGTGCGGACTGTGATAGATATTTACATTTGCATAGAAAAACCAGAAACCATCAAAGACAGGTAACATTTATACGTTATAGTGTACTTTGTGTGTAGTTCTTTCTATTAATCAACGTAATTTAATTAGGTACTTAACCACTTCATGTTCTATTCACAGGTAAAAATTAATATCGAAATAAGAAATTTATCCTGGTATAAATTGGAATTAACATACTTTTTAATAGATTTGTCTACCTGAAAGAAATAAAATAGAGATACATTTTTCTCTCTGAATTGAAAATAAAAAACTACATTAAATGTTAATACATATAATTTTATCCATGCGTTTATTAGTTTGTTGTAATCCTCAAGATTATGTACAAAGATTTTGAAGCGATGAAGATGACGAATTATATAGGAGCGCTTAGATTTCATCCAGTTTCGTTTCACGCTTCTTGTATAACAAATAATTAACCCTGAGACTGTTTGCTCTTACGTAAAGTTATATCAAAGGGATTAAAATCCAAAGATGATTCGAAATACATTTTAAAGAAGTTTTATTAGAGTTGGAACAAGACGAATATTTTAAAAGGGATTGAATTATATTTGTACGTCTCTAATAAATTTTATTTATGCTCATTAATTCCAATATTTGATCAGAACTTTTGTACCCCGTTATATATTTATCAATAAATAGCTATTTATTTTCATTTATTTTATTTTCATTTATTTTCATTTATTTTCATTTATTTTCATTTATTTTCATTTATTTTCATTTATTTTCATTTATTTTCATTTATTTTCATTTATTTTCATTTATTTTCATTTATTTTCATTTATTTTCATTTATTTTCATTTATTTTCATTTATTTTCATTTATTTTCATTTATTTTCATTTATTTTCATTTATTTTCATTTATTTTCATTTATTTTCATTTATTTTCATTTATTTTCATTTATTTTCATTTATTTTCATTTATTTTCATTTATTTTCATTTATTTTCATTTATTTTCATTTATTTTCATTTATTTTCATTTATTTTCATTTATTTTCATTTATTTTCATTTATTTTCATTTATTTTCATTTATTTTCATTTATTTTCATTTATTTTCATTTATTTTCATTTATTTTCATTTATTTTCATTTATTTTCATTTATTTTCATTTATTTTCATTTATTTTCATTTATTTTCATTTATTTTCATTTATTTTCATTTATTTTCATTTATTTTCATTTATTTTCATTTATTTTCATTTATTTTCATTTATTTTCATTTATTTTCATTTATTTTCATTTATTTTCATTTATTTTCATTTATTTTCATTTATTTTCATTTATTTTCATTTATTTTCATTTATTTTCATTTATTTTCATTTATTTTCATTTATTTTCATTTATTTTCATTTATTTTCATTTATTTTCATTTATTTTCATTTATTTTCATTTATTTTCATTTATTTTCATTTATTTTCATTTATTTTCATTTATTTTCATTTATTTTCATTTATTTTCATTTATTTTCATTTATTTTCATTTATTTTCATTTATTTTCATTTATTTTCATTTATTTTCATTTATTTTCATTTATTTATTTTCATTTATTTTCATTTATTTTCATTTATTTTCATTTATTTTCATTTATTTTCATTTATTTTCATTTATTTTCATTTATTTTCATTTATTTTCATTTATTTTCATTTATTTTCATTTATTTTCATTTATTTTCATTTATTTTCATTTATTTTCATTTATTTTCATTTATTTTCATTTATTTTCATTTATTTTCATTTATTTTCATTTATTTTCATTTATTTTCATTTATTTTCATTTATTTTCATTTATTTTCATTTATTTTCATTTATTTTCATTTATTTTCATTTATTTTCATTTATTTTCATTTATTTTCATTTATTTTCATTTATTTTCATTTATTTTCATTTATTTTCATTTATTTTCATTTATTTTCATTTATTTTCATTTATTTTCATTTATTTTCATTTATTTTCATTATTTTCATTTATTTTCAATTATTCCAATTATTTCCAAATATATTACCTCCTTTTGTAATTACAAACGATGTAACGGATTATTACACAACTATACTACAAATTATGTTTTCGGATAAACAAGAAAAAAACGAACAGATAAAAACTAAAACATATACAAATTATAAAAAACTCTCTAACAATATAAACTCTGTCTCGTGGGATGCTGTATATTCTCAAGCTGATCCAGAATCTGCAACAAAGACTTTTATTAAAATTATTAAGGACGCTTTAAAACAAAGTACAATAACTAAAAAAATTAAACGAAAAAAATACTAAATTATCCCCTTGGCTAACAAACGGTATTTTACAGTCTATTAATACTAAAAACAGAAAGAAACTTTAAATAATCCCGGCAATAAAATTCTAAAAAATCAGTATAAAAGGTACCGTATTAGTTTAATAAATCTCATTTCAAAAACAAAGTTTGAATTCTATAAAAAACAAATTAAAACTAATTCTAGTGATTCTAAAAAAATATGGGAAATTGTAAACAAATTAACAGGTAAGAACAAGAAAAATTAAAAAAATAGTAAAATAATTGATATTGAAGAAAAATACCTAATAAATCCAAAAAATATATGTAATGAATTTAATCAACAATTTATCAAAATGGGAAAGAATCTGGCCGAAAAAATTACAAAAACTTACTACCAAGATCAAAAGCAACCACCAGTGAATTATATGATGTTGTCTCCTACTGAAGAAAACGAAATCATTAAAGTTATCGCTGAGTTAAAAAATAAAAAAGCAGTAGGAACCGACGAAATACAAGCAGAAATCCTAAAACAAATTACAAAAGAAATTGTGGGCCCACTCAAACACATTATTAATATATGCTTTGAAAAAGGTGTATTTCCTGATACTTTAAAAGAAACAGTTGTAACACCGATCTACAAAAAAGGCAATAAAACTTTAGTAAATAACTACCGACCAGTATTTTTAATAACTCATATATCTAAGATCTTTGAAAAGATAATAAAAATTAGACTCACTTCATATATGTCTAAGTACAAAATATTGTCTCCAAAATAGTATGGTTTTAGAGAAAATACTTCAACAGAAGATGCCATCCTAGCGTTAGTAGAAAAAATATACAAAGCTCTAGATAAAGTTAGACAATGTATGTGTGTATTTATGGATCTTACAAGAGCTTTTGATACTGTAAGTCATGAGCTACTCTTACAGTGTCTCTTAAAGATTTGGGAATAAGAGGAAACAGACAAAAAATGTTTAAAAGCTACCTCACAAATAGAAGGCAGATTGTTAGAGTTGCTAATAAAACGAGTAACTCTGAAATACTAGAGTATGGTGTTCCCCAGGGTACTGTTCTTGGACCTATACTTTTTAATTCATATATAAACGGACTCTTTTCAATACAAAGCTGCTGTGAAATAATTGGATTTGCTGATGACACAGTAATATTTTATGAGGGACAAGACTGGAATACTCTAAAAACAGTTGCTGAAAATGATTTCACTTCTATTAAACAATTCTTAGACTCAAAATTACTGACGCTAAATCTAGAAAAAACAAAATACTTACCCATCAGTTGCAATGCAGGTGGATTACCAGAATTTCAAAGTTTAAAGATCACTAGCAATGGAAAAGTGTATAATATTTTATCTGAAAAAGAATATAAGTATCTTGGCGTGTATATTGATAGACATTTAAAATGGGATTGTCACATAAATTATACAGTTAAAAGGCTACAAATTATTCTCTATAAATTTAAATTTTTGAAAAAACATTTGTCTCTAGAACAACTTCGAACTTTATACTATTCTCTCGTAGAAAGTCATATACGTTATGGTATTGTAGCATGGGATAGTGCTCTGCATAGTCATACACAGTTGAAGAACTTTTACAGAAGGAAGAATTAAACTTTGAAAAGAGAAAACCAAATAGTGCACCATCGACTCCTATCAGAATTATTGACCAACCGCTAAATGACTCGCAAGTGAATGTGCCCATTCAACAAAAAACCTCTGAACCCGAAACAACAGCAAGCAACATAAAAGAAACGTCTAAAGAAAAATTGATAAAAGAACACACTAAAAATCAAATTAAAACTCGCTCATTCTCTTCTTCGACTCAAATAGTCAAAAAGAAGTGACATCTATTAATTTAATTCACTATATAATATATACTTGTTCATTTTTGTTACATTTTTTGTTTGTTTTGTCTAGCACTGTATGTTCCTAATATATTTCTATTTTAAGTGGATAAAAATATGGATGCTTATATAAGGGATGTGAACTATATATCGTTTGAAACCAAAGAATTAGAAAATTATAAACTTCTTAAAAAATATCTCATAAATGAAAAGCAAAGCTTTAAAATCATTCATCAAAATATACGAAGTATTTTTAAAAATTTTGATGAATTTAATATTATATTGCAAGAAATGGATTGTGATTTTGATTGTCTTGTATTTACTGAAGTGTTTAAAATAGGTGAAATGGGATGTCACAAACTTGAAGGTTATTACGCATTTTATAATGAAGGCAATATTAATAAAAATGATGGAACTATAATATACTTAAAAAAAGACTTTAACCAGTGTACTAACATTGTAGAGCTAGGAGAAAATAAAGAGATAGAAACGATAATCACATTCCATAACAAACAAAAATTAATGATTACTGCTCTCTATCGGCCACCTTCAACAAATGTTGAAAGTTTTATAATCAATCTAGAAGAATACCTAGAAAGTACAAAAAAAACTTCAATAGATTATCACATACTAATAGGGGACATAAATATAAATATATTTGAGAATAGTGAAGTAGTGAATAGTTATTTAAATCTGTTAGGAGAACACAATTTCTTATCTTTAATAAACAGTCCGACCAGAGAAAAAAATTGTTTAGATCATATATTTATAAATTCTAAAAAGTCAAATATAAAAGATAGTTGCATAGCAGTCACTCTCGAAACAAACGTAACTGATCATAAAACAGTATTTGCAAGTATCCCTGTAACAAAAAAATATCAAAATAGCCGGACAACTTCTAAACAAATCATAGACTATAATAATCTAGAAAGTGACATGCAAAATTTTGACTGGTCGACGTATTATACATTATCTACTCCTGATGACATTACTGAATACCTAATAGAAACTTTAAACAGCTTTATAAAGAAACATACTAAAACAATAAAAATAAAAAATGCAAATAAAGAAAGAAAAAACTGGGTTTCGCCGGGTCTCATAAAATCAATTAATAAAAAAAACTCATTATACAGGCAGTACATAAAAAATAAAACAGACATACAAATTGAAAACAATTACGTTGAATATCGCAAAAATTTAAATAAACTCATCAAAACAACAAAGAAGGATTATTACAGAAAACAAATTCTTAAAAATAATAGTTCAACTAAAAACCTTTGGAAAATAATAAATGATGTAACAAATAATGTAAATGATAAAAAAATTGAAGAAATTGTTCTAGAAAACAATATAGTATGTAAAAATAAAAAAATAATAGCTGAAGAGTTTAATACATATTTCTCAAAAGTTGGAAAATGTTATGCCAAAAAAATAGTGAAACCAAATTCTGCTTCACCTAAAAATAAGCGAATGGTAAATTCTTTTTATCTATTACCTGTTAGTGAACATGAAGTAAGTAATATTATATCAACTCTAAAATTAAATAAGGCACCAGGAATAGATAACATTAAATCTGAAGTTATAAAAAAAGTATCATCTATAATTAGCCATCCCTTAGTTTACTTAATAAATACTATTTTTGAAACCGGACTATGGCCTAGACAATTTAAAACTACTTTAATTGTTCCCATACACAAAAAAGGAAACCGAAAATTACAAACAAATTACAGGCCTATATCGTTAATTACAACTCTGAGTAAGATTTTAGAAAAAGCTTTAACAAATCAATTTACCACATATTTAGAAAAATATAATTTACTGTCTGAAAACCAATTTGGCTTTCGAAGAGGAATGTCGACGGAAAATGCCATTACATCCCTAACAAGCAAGATATACAATCTTATTGATGCAAGCACTCCAACTGCTTGCGTATTTCTGGATCTAGCCAAGGCATTTGATACGGTTAGCGACACGCAACTGTTGGATGTCTTGGAGGATGCAGGAGTACGTGGGAAAGTTCATGATTTAATGCAGAGCTATTTGTTAGGTAGAAATCAAGTAGTCAGGATAGACGAAGAGGTAAGTAGTAAAAAAGAAATAAATTTTAGTATTCCACAAGGTACCGTAATAGGACCTATTTTATTTATACTATACATAAATAATGTACTAACCTACCATACAGAAGGTAGTATCATAAGTTTTGCGGATGATACTGCCATCTTATATTCAGCTGAAACCTGGACTGACCTAAAGGTTAAAATGGAAAACGATTTAGTAAAAATTATAGATGTATTTAGTCACAAGTTACTTACAGTAAATGTTCAAAAAACATTTTTCGTTCCTTTTGCTAGTTATAAAAATGGTTTGCCGATTTATAATTCATTAAAAATAAAAAATCTCGTTATAAACAGAGCCGATAGTATTCGATATCTAGGATTAACAATTGATTCCCATTTACGCTGGGATAAACATGTAAATGAAATTTGTAAGACCTTAAGGTATTTATTATATAAATTTCGCTACTTAAAATCTATACTTGATATATATCATCTAAAAATCGTATATTATTCACTAGTGGAATCACGTTTACGATACGGGATTCTCGGATTCTCTGTCACCTACTTACAACCATTAAACATTATTCAAAAAAAAAAAATATTAAAAATAATACATAACAAAAAAGTATCACACCCATCAGACGAATTATTTATAGAATCTGCAGTCCTAGATATAAGACAACTATTTACACTTGCTATGATGGTAAATTTACATAAAAATAAGCAGTTACTAATACCTATTCAACATTCATACCAGACAAGAAATCGATCACAACTATTTATTGCAACAAATATTGCAAAAAAAACCGTAGGCCAACGAAACTTCCAATATCTACAATTAAAAATTTATAATACACTTCCTGATATATACAAAATATACTTAAATACCATCAATTCTCATGCAATGATAAAATCCTTGCTTAAAACATATTTAATATTAAATAATAGGCACATGCTTAAACAACTGTTTGATTGATTCAAGGAAAACAATATATAATTCACACCCTTATCACGCATCAGTATTTTTGCTAACTATATTTTTTTTACCAATTTAAATTATTTAGTTATATAAGTTATAAATCTTATTATTATTATCTTATTATTATTATTTTATTATTTTAGTCATTATGTATACCTTAATTATAATTTCTTTTATCTACTGCGTTTTGGCAATTTCAATTTTTAATAAAAATTGGCATTTCCCATGCTCGACTAAACAGTTTTAATGGGGTCAATGATTTATTTACATTGAAGTTATAATACATATGTTTGTGTATTATTATTGTAAAACTTTTACATTATTATTATGTGTAAATAAATATTATTATTATTATTAATAACCTAGAAATAATACAACGCAGATTTTTGAAATTAATAATGAATAAAAATTTTAGATACTCATCAGATATACTTTCCATTTATTTTAATTTCCATTTATTTATTTCCATTTTTAACCCAGAAAATCATTTTACTGAAATAATTATTTCAAAATCTATATTATTTCAAGGTTTGTAAAGAGGAAGAAGAAGCTATTAAAGTAGAATTGCACGAAGGTTGCGGAAGAACAAAACTGTTTTGGCTATTGGCTTTAGCGGATCCCAGAACATTGAAAGCTCTCATTGAATTCAGAGAAGGAGGTACTCGGAACAAAACAATAGGAATGAGCGGTGTTTGTCGGTTTTGTGGTACTTCTGGAAATTCGGGTCTTCTTGCTATTGGAAATGTCTGTGCTGATCATGAATGTCAGGTAAAAACATCGGTTATTGGAGTAGTTTTGTAGTAGTATTTGTAGTTTTATCCTAAAAGCCGCTTTTCTCTATGCAAGTTTGTTACACTGACAATTCAACTTCTTATATGTATATATAATATCTTCTTCCGATCATTCTCATTTCTGCGCATAGTGAAATTTTGCCAAAAGAAGTCAAAACCTTCATTCTTATTTGTATCTCCATGCTGTGGACTTTCTATACAAAAATAGTTCTATTTATTTTATGTCGTGAAACTTTCATCAAAAATCATGCGCCTTGACTACAAATTTCTTGCAACAAACTTGCATAACATAATTTATTTTTTTAGGAATACGGAAGAACATCGTGCAGTAAAATTTTAAATTGTGGACATATGTGTGGAGGGGTTTTAGGCGAAACGAAATGTTTGCCATGTTTACATGGATGTTCTGGGGATAATACGTTAAGACAAGATTCTGATGATATGTGTATGATTTGTTTTACGGAAGCTCTATCCTGTGCTCCAGCTATTCAGGTTTGTAACGAGTCAAATTTAAAATTTTAGTAATAAATGAAAATAAATTTAGAGCACTATTATTCAATGTTTCTACGGAAGTTATTTGGAATTGAAGTATACACAAATATTGTATGTCCATTTTATTCGAAAATGGGATAAGTAGGATTTTATATCCTTCATGATGAAATGTTTATGGTTTCCAAATATAGTACGTCTACTTAAATTGGTTTACCATTTAGTAAAATAATGATAATAAAAATTATACAGTTCATCATAGTCACCTACTACTTTCAAATCGATTTTACTTAAAACGACATTTTTGGATATACAACATTCTTAGCCATCGACTTATTAGATCTTTAACGTACCTATAGTCCAATTAAATAACGAAAAATAGCCCCTTCGAGCTTACATTAATTTGTAATTGGATGAAACAAAAAGGACCTTGTGTATTTTGATGTGATCTTTCCAAAAAAAAGAAAAAAAAAGATGTAGCAGTTTTTTAATTTTTTTTAAATTAGGAAAAACCGGGTTTTCCAGAATTTTCCATTGTAAAAATGCTAATTATCTGGGCAAGTATCATTCCGATAGTGAAAATAAATGCACCATTCGAAAGAGGAGGCAAAAATAGTTCGGAAATTCATTGCACAGGTAGTTTTAATGGCGAATTTCTCGCCGCTAGAAGTGCTTTTACCAAAAAGTCGTTTTTTCGTTTTTTTTTATCAGAACCATGGACATGAAATTTGCGATGAATTTTTGGCGAAATTATAAATGTTAGACATATGTGCCCATGAGAGAAGTTGCGTATTTTTTTGTTGGCTCTCAAATAAAATAAGTCCCGCGGCGAAATCTGACATAATTTTTCGGGAATTCGCAGGAAACCAGAGGCGTAGTTTTTTTTTTAATTTTTTTCCCATGTGATTTTTTCCGGGTTTTCCGAAAACATCTAACAAAATTAATATATTTGAAAAAACTAACTTCGCCATCGAAAAGAGCACAAAAAATACACAAATAGGTATACTTTAAAAATGTTAGGAAATTAATCCTAAGCCTGAGTGTAAGTTCCAACTTGGTGATAAGCTTGCTTTTTGTTCGCTAATATCCATAGAAATAATATAGAAGACCAATATAAACATAACATTTAAGCAGAAATTGAAACCTACTGTGCATAAAAACGCGTCTCTGCGCCTGACATCGCAAAATAGTGTGTCTAGAAGCTTGCGCAATATGCATGACTTGTCCCTGTAGTGTTGCCAAATATATTAAACATACCTAACAGAAAAGAATTTTAAATTAATTAGTTTTTAAATTAAATGATTTAAACAGTTTATATCTACGAAATATCGCCACAAAATAACTTATAAACATTTAAATAATCAACTAATAATATTTATGTGTAATTACATTCCCAAAAATATATACAAATACCGTATTAATGTCATTAATACCGTATTTTTAATGTTCAATAAGCGATTCACCTACAAATTCAATATTGACCTGGCAATAGCACTAAAATCCGGTGTTTCAAGGCTATATGACGCTGCCCTTACAGGACCGTTTGTAGTTTATTATTTATGCCGCGTTTGAGAATCCACATCGGATGCATCTGAGATGTAGTAGTAGTAAATCTTTGATCACGTGATTCAGTATACGTAAATGTAATGGGACAGATGTGTCCGATGTGGATAAAAAACGCTCGAGATGTAAAAAATGCATCCGATGTGGATTCTCAAACGCGGCATTAATTACATGATGAAAGTGACATTTTATTTTTAGTTTTGTGTAGTGTTTAGTCAAATCCTAGGTACAATAAAAGACATTTTTACATTGGCTAATGAAAATGTAATCAATGTATTAGGCAGCTGTTATATTTATTACAAGATTTATGTCTGCAAATCTAAACCTACCTAAGAATTATAATTATGTAAATAGAGAGCTGTATATTTATATACAGGCTGCCCAGCGACGGGGAGACATTATCGATATTGGTTTTAAGGCATTTTAAAACATAAACCCGATCTCAACAATCTTAGGAACTCTTCTGTCACTCGATATTTTAATCGGTACTTCCTCTTCGCTTTTTGGCTGGCACAACAATTATTTACATTTCTTCATTCCTTACCGCGTTCGAATCAGTAAGGTTTAAAGAAATTTAAAAAAAAAACCTACTTTAAAAATAAAGATGTTAATGATTTTCTTATGGATCCCATCTTCAGATCTTGACTTAATGTATATAAAACTGTTTCCTTTTCTAACAAAAAGAATCCTAGAAATCGGGCAACGTGGTAAAGAATTATCGTTCAACGTACTTAAAAAAATATTTCAACGAATTGAGAATATCCTACCATTTTGAAGTATGTTAAAAAAAAATTGTTAATAAAGTGAAAAGTAGGGCATGAACATATATTATAAAGTATATAAAATGATAGATAAATCCAGTTTAGAAGGTATTATAAATAAACTGTGGAAATATCGAGAATCTCGATTTTGAATCGGAAAATATTCTACGCAATTTAGTATGAAAGCTAATCAAAATGAAACACATGAACGACAAACTGTTATTGACAACTTTCTTCAAACGTTTTATATTTTTCCGAAAACTAACTAGATAGTTCGAAAATCATTTCCTTCGTTAAAACGCCTCTTGTTCCGAAAAAGGTACACGCCTGTCAACATTCATCGTTAAAAAAGTGGTAGATACAAAACGCTTCGTATTGTAAGGCCAAAATATATTTAGAAATCGAAATAGTCATATAAACAAAAAAATCATATGAGTGAGATAACTACCAAATTAATGATTTACAAGTTTATTCCTATTATTTATAAAATAGGTTTGCAATGTGCTGGTGTGGAATGTTATCATCGACTAAAAACTTTAAATCTTTGTATTAAATTGATCGAAAACAAACTATAAATTGGTTTAGGCTATATAGAATGTTTCTAGTAAGCAGCAACTAATTTTTATTATGGAACCGAAAGACCCTTTTAAAAGGGTTCAAAATTAAAATAAAATATGTACCAAGTAAATGTAGTAGTATTTTTTAATTTTTTAATTTATATTGAAAATGGTAACATGAAAGGTTTTCTGTCTAACGACTCATAGTCTCGGCTGACAAAATGTAAAAAAATATCGAACATAATATTCCTGGGCCCTATTTTGCACTCCCCAGATTAAATTTAGTTGTTGCAAATGATATTATCAAATAAGATGTCAAATCACAAGCAAAACCTCGTGACTACAGTACTAATGATTGCCTGTTTGGAAAAGTATCTTTGTTTGTAAATATTTATATGCATAGTTATATTTAAATGCTCGAGTGTAATGTTAAGTATAAACAAAATACGCCCATTATGTATATACGTTTAGTTACCGACCCTAGTAGATAGGCAATTTGTTATTGTTTTAAGTTTTACCGTAGGGAGAGAGAAAATCAATATTAGGATAAATGGTCCAGCTCCTTTCTGGTTACGTAGGTATCTAAAAAGTATTTTAGTTTTTGGTTAAGTAATTAATTATTGTAACAGTGATTTTCTTGTGATAGTACCTAATTTAGATTGTGGATTAAAGTTTTTGTATATAATTTCGCTGTTTAATAATAAACATAGTCAAAACCGGAGCACGTGGTTTTTCTGGAAAGTATTTTTAAAATCACAAGCAAAATCTCATGACTACTGTACTAATGATTGCCGAAAATTAACTAATTCATATTTTATGCCATATCTTTCTTAATAAGGACTGTCAGAACCATATTAACCTTAACTTGAAATTTTTTTAATCGTTTTTTGTATAGAATCATCTCTAAAAATGTATGATTGAAATATCGTGCGAACTATTTGTTCGATCAATAAAAAACTTGCACCGGTCCTGTTCGCGCCAGCACCGTTATACGCATGAGCTCCGACACACTATTTTCTCCTTATGGTTTCATTTTTGATATATGGAATCGGCTTTCTATACTATTTCTATGCTAATATCTGGTAATTCTATATTTTGCACAAAACTCAAGAAACGTCTTATAACAAGTCAGTAAAATACAATTTAATAAACTTTAAGCCTAATAAGTTTAGATATGTAAGAAATTTAAAACTGGAAAACGCAAAAAAATCAAATTACAGTAATGTAGTGTATACACGAGTCTTGGATCCCGCGGAGCGCGTGTAATGGGACTTTTGTCGGGAGAATTCTACAACTTAGAAGAAATTGTCAATTTTAGGCAACTTTTCTCAAAAACCGTGTTTTTTGGTAGTCAAAAAAATAGATAAAATATATTTGCAGAATTTTCCGTAATGTAATCGTATTCTAGACACAATAGAGTACTCAAAAAAAAGTTTTGAGCCATTGGGTGCATTTTTGGCATTTTTGTGCCACTTTCGAAAAAAAAAAAATTATTTTTTTTAAGGAAAAAAAAAATTATTTAATTGTTTGATATCTTAGCCAATTATGGTCTGATGTCGGTGAAATTCACACACACATAAGATTTCACATTTAGGAGTAAGCTTTGTAAGTGGCATTAAAAAAATTCAAATAGTTTGGCCGTTATAGGCAAACAATGAAATTAGGACCGCGGTGCATTTTGCCCTTCCGCCATATGCCCAATTTTGGGATTTCTCTTGCCCCCTTCTGGGAATCACTAGTCACATCCCTTAAGTTCAAAACGCATTTTTGTTTTTTCAAATATCTTAATTTTTAACAATGTTATAAAGGATTTAGTGTTTGAACATTTAACAAATTCAATTTTTCGACCTTCGTCGCCTCAAAATACTAAACAAATTTCAATCGTCCATACCGCGAGAACGGTGCATCGGATCAAAATTTCTCAAGAGACATAAAAATTAGTATTTTTCCTAAGCTTTCAAATATCGTAAACTGCGTTTTAAAAATATTGATTTATTTCCGACATGCGCCTGCGCAAAATTGAAAAATTGACCAAATCGACCAAATCCAAAATTTCGGCACTTTCGAAAAACAGCTACATTTTGTTTTGCCTTTTTTCGAAAAGATCACCTCAAAATACATAGAATCCATTTTGTTTCATCTAATTACAATTTAATGTAAGCTCAAAACCCGTAATTTAATTCGATTACTACTACACTAATTTAGTCAATATCTAATAATTGGGTCTATTAGAAAATCCTCAATCTCTTCATTTTTTATGTATATTTAGCCGTAATTCTCTACCACCTTGTCGGATTTCTATAATTTTGTTAGTAAGGGAGTACCTCAGGGATGATCCTCTACAAATTTGGTCAAGATGTGGTGATGGCATCTACACGATTTTTTAAAATTACTTTTATAACTTGTATTTTTTCATTTTAGCTTGGATGTGGACATGTATTCCATTTGCACTGTTGCAAAACTGTTTTGATGAAACGGTGGGCCGGTCCGAGAATAACATTTTCATTTATACTATGCCCAATTTGCAAGGTAAGTAAATTAATTTTTAATTTTTTTTTTATTTTCATTGAACAAAAATAAAATAATGTAACATTTGAGAGAATTAGGATGGTTTGTTTTTTGTACTTCCTTCTTAAATTCTCTCGTACACACAATTCGATTGCATGTATTTCAGCCTGAAATACAGTGGCATGTTTTCCACAAAAGTCTGGGTATACGCCACCAATTCAATTGATCTCTTGATGACTTTGGTGTATATGCACTCACATTACATTTATGCATTGTTCGTTTCAAACGGCTTTCTTTATTAATATTTTATGCATTCAATTTGGATGTTTTGTAAGATTTTTTTCAATTAGTTATAATGTTAATTAAGGTAATATAATAAACAATTGAGCTACTGCGTTTTGGGGAATCTTCGAAAAAATAATTTCTGTTGGTATCGAGGTTCACTGGCCAGACGCTAATGAGGGTTGGTTGGGTTAAGTTTTTTTTTCAATTTGTGCTGTGTCCAGGCTGTTTGAGTCTATGCCGGCCGGCGTAGCCAGGTATGGTTTAAAAATTTACAAGAAGTCGTTGCTTCATTTTCTTATTGTATATTGTTTTTTTATCACATGAGCCCTCAAATTGGATACTGTCGAATAACTTTTTTGGCATTCGCCACAAATCACCTTTCATTTTTAATGAGAGATGTGCTTTTTCTATCACTTTTACTATACAAAATAAATATTAAAAGAAAAATAGGAACAAAACAAGTCAAATAACTTAACCTCAACTGGGTAAATTGAAATTGAACCTTATTAAAAGTTATAAAACCGTTAAAAAGCAACAACCAATACGTCAAGCGTCATACGGGTTGCATATACACCAAAGTCATCAAGAAATTAATTGAATTGGTGCGGTATACCCAGACTTTTTTCATATTTTCCCAGTGAACGATGATGTCGCATTTGGGTTTAACTCCATGTACGCTAGAGCCTGTTCCCTTGTTAGTTTTAGATCCATCCGTATATCATACGAGACCGCTAATATTTATGTATCTCCTTCCTTCGTTCTAGTTACAGTTGACCTGGAAAAGTCTGTTAAAGGTTAGGAGGGGTGTCATGTGATCTGATCCCATATTAATATAAAATCATTTACTTCGTGTGTTATTCTGGTATGTTTTATATGTCCCAGTGGGTTCCAGTTGTTGGATATTTCCAATCTGTATGCACTCATTCTGGCCTCCCCCTTTATGACTAGGTCAAGGGGTGGGAGGTTTAGAATGATTTCCATAGAGGCTGTCGGTGTACTTCTCAGTGCCATGCTAGCCTCTGTACTCCTGAGAGGGTATTGAGGGCTGTTTTCTGGTTCGATTTTGGCCACCAAACGACCGCTCCATAAGTTATCATGGGTCTTGTTATTGTCTAATATAGCCAGTGAACCATTTTTGGTTTTAATCCCCATGTTTTTCCAAATACCCATCTCCCTACAATGAGAAACATTTTACATTTGTTGGTCACTTTTTGTAAGTGTTGGTTCCAAGTAAGTTTCATATCTAGGATTAGACCCAGATATTTTACTTGGTTCGTTTTGTTTAGCCATTCTCCAAACCGAGTCGGAGTTTCTAAAACCTCCAACCTTGTTTTCGGAGTAAAGGTTATGAGTTGTGCCTTGTCAGGGTTTACCAAGAGGTTTTCCGTAACGCACCACATTTCTATCAGCCTAAGAGCTCTTTGCATGAGTTCAAAGACTGGTTTGGTATTTCCCTCGGGTAAGGATGACTATGTCATCGGCATATCCTTGAACGGACGGCCCTTGATTGTTTATTGTTTTCAGCAGTTCATCTGCTATTAGGTTCCACAATAGAGGAGAAAGGACTCCACCCTGTGGGCATCCCCTGTAAATATTGACCTGCATGGTTTCACTGAACATTTATGCCTGTACTTGCCGTCCGCATAACGTCTTCTATCCACAAGTAGATGGTGTCTTGTATTCCATGTTTTCGAGCGGCAGCTACCATTGATTTAAAGGAGGTATTATCAAAAGCTCCTTCTATGTCAAGAAATGCTCCTAGGACTATTTCTTGGCTATTATATTGGTTACAAAATGATGCAGAGCAGACTCAAAAGATTTTCTTGATTGATAGGCATGTTGGTTTGTATAAAATGGCCTCTTTATCACAGTGGTTTGCCGGACATGCTGATCAATCAGTTTTTCCAATCCTTTCAATAGAAATGACGTCAGAGTTATTGGTCTATAGGCCTTTAATTGCCACGGCATACGTTGGGTGCCCCGGTTTAGGTATAAAAACAACTGTGCTTTGTTTTTGTATAGTAACAGTGAGGAAAAGTACATCTCTCATTAAAAATGTCAAAGGTGATTTGTGGCGAATACCAAAAAAGTTATTCGACAGTATCCAATTTGAGGGCTCATGTGATATAAAAACAATATACAATAAGAAAATGAAGCAACGACTTCTTGTACATGTTTATGCACCAAACTTGAACTGTAGAGCCTACAAATATGCGGGGCCAGCGTTTCTATTGCCTGTTGCAAAAGCACAGGCAGTACCCCATTTGGTCCTGGTGATTTGTTTGGATAGAAGGTGCGTATTGCCCATGTTACTTTCTCTGTTGTAACTACCCGTTTAGTAGTTTCCCACTCTTGATTGGAGATTCTTTTTTTGAGAGTTCCAATTCGTGTGGGTTTGGTTTGCTGCATTCGAATTTGTTGTGCAATCAGGGAAATGAGTTTTAAGAAGTAGTTTCCATTCAAGTTTTAGTGTATTCTCCTGTTTAGGTTTTTAAAGTCCCCACAGGGTTTATTGGATCTTTTGCTAGAATGCGGTGGAGTCTGCATCTTTCAGTTATATTTTCAATTTCTTGACAGAATGTTCTCCCTCTTAGATTTCCTAAGAATTTTGTTTATACTCTGTGAGTGTTCCGGTGTATTTCCCCCACACATTCGTCTTTTTAGCCTTATTAAAAAGTTTACGTGTTTTCCTTCTGAGTTTGGCGAGTTCGGTGTGTTCCACCAGTTCACCTCCCTAGAAGTTTTCCTGTTCTTTAACGAGCAGTTATTGTGGTTTCGTCCCGTAGTTGTTCTCAAACTTCATCTATATCATTTTTAGTAATAAGAGTTATTTTAACACTGTCCCCAGCTCCACTCCGTATCCAAACTAATCGGTTTTATGTGGGTCTCGGTATACATCTCCTGGTTTATCGATGTTGTCGATTTCCGTGAGAATATGCCGATGATCTGAGATCAAAAGCTCTCTAGACACGTACCACTTGCCAATGTGATTTGTATATAACGAAGGAAGAACTAAGGGTACTATCCATAACCTCTACTGGTTACAAAAGTAGGTTCGTTTCCACATATACTAAGTGGCACTAAGAATGCTTATGCTATATGTTCAGTCAGTTCCAAATTATAACCATAAATAATCCTTGTAATAAGACTGTTTCTCATAATTTGACAAATACGTGGATAACACCGTGAATACTTGCGATTTTTTTTTGTAGTAGTTGTTTTTCGATGGATATAACTATTTTAAATTGTAATCTCATTTTTCCTATATATTTTTATGACCTTCTCGTTGCATTCTTGACAACATTCTTGACATGCTCACACATTTATGTCTCTTTTAGTATACAGATTCTGAATAATATACTGCAATATGCACATTTTTCTTCCGAATTTATAATCCAAGTTCAGTTCTGTTGACTTCCCCTTATGGATTTGCTTATCTAACTCAAATTTAAATACCAAATTGATATATTTTAGGAAGAAATGAAACACGAAATGGTAACCGACATTCTGACTCCTATTTTGGATTTATTCAAAGACGTTCGTAGGAAAGCTTTAATGCGATTAGAGTACGAGGGTTTACACACAATTGAAGCTGTAACGACACCCGCTTCTCGATTCTACAGCGATCCAGCCTCTTATGCTATGGATAGATATGCCTATTACGTATGTTACAAGTGTAAAAAAGTAAGTTTTTTAATTTTATTCAAACATGTACTGAACTCAATATAATAATAATACACTAGTGGAAAAAATCTTAATTTTTGCGATTTTTCGAGTGGCTGTATCTTTGGTAAAAATGGTTGTACGTGAATGAAACAAAAGCAATTTGAAGCTTGAAGTATCTAGTTTATGGATCTTGCGATAAAAAAATGTCCAACTAACAATTAGCACAAAATCCTGATGAATATCATGGATAGAAAATGTTTGAAACATTTTTTTTTGATCCCTTAATTTTTTCCACTAGTGTTATATTACCCATGTTTAATGCGTACCGATTTTTTTACAGGCCTATTATGGGGGCGAAGCAAGATGTGATGCGGAAATGGCGGAAAATTATGATCCAAAAGAATTAGTTTGCGGTGCTTGTTCTGATGTTGCCAGAGCACAGATGTGCCCTAAACACGGAACTGATTTTCTAGAATATAAATGCCGGTACTGCTGTTCAGTAGCAGTATTTTTCTGCTTTGGCACCACCCATTTTTGTAACCCATGTCACGATGATTTCCAAAGGGTTACCAATCTTCCGAAGAATGAATTACCCATGTGTCCAGCAGGTAATTTATATTAAAATAATCCCTGATCTCAAATGTGATCAATTTTCTTGACAAGTCAATATCGCATAAAATTTGTTGTATTTATAACAAAAATTATCTGACTGGTTTCGACCCTTTAAGGCCAACTTCAGGTCTACAATTTTTACAAAAAAGAGAGGTTTAATATGGGAAAGAAAGAACTTAATGATTATCTTTCATATGAAGATTTACACTACACATGAATGTGCTGTCAGAAAAAGTTTACCGAAAGAACTGCCCTTCAGTGGAAATACGTCTATTCAACAATCTTTTTTTATAATATTTTTGGTTTCATACATTATGTCAATGCTAAAAAGGCATGGGACTATTCTATTGGGATACTAAAACACTATGGACTATTTGCACTGCTAGTCGTTAAGAAATCAAGGATTAAAATGAAATTTGTAAGGGAAAACTGCCATTTTGCTAGACTTATTTATCTTTGACTAGTGGTGCAAATGGACCTATATCACTTACAATAGCTAAAAATTGATCTAAATCACTTCTACCAAATTATTTTATTATATTTTTGTTTCATACGTGTTACAAATCAATAAATAAATATTTTTCAGGACCTAGGGCCAAACAATTGGAAGGTGAAGAATGCCCGTTGCATGTCAAACATCCACCTACTGGTGAAGAATTTGCTTTAGGTTGTGGAGTCTGCAGAAATGCCCACACGTTTTAAAATAAAACACATTCTAATATTTAAATATATAATAATTGTAATGTCAAATGCTAGTCAACAATGATTTTATTTGTAGAAAATGTACCTCTATATATTCTTTTTAAATAAATTCACTGTACTTTGATATATTTATTAAACAATATATTTTAAAATAAATGATGAATATCTCTTAATACTTTTTATTTTTCCATAGATAAAAAAAATGTATGTGAAATTATCATTTTGCAACTTTTAAGTATTCAGAAAACTCATTTAACTTTTAAATCAAATCTTAATCTGGAACGTATCCTTTATGATTGTCAACAAGTATTTATCCTTTACATAGGCCTGGTAATTTTTCTTATTAATAATTTTCAATCATTCTTTAACATCTTCCTTAAGAAGTGCATTATTCAAATGTAACTGTTGCATTACTAATTCCGGCAATTTGTCTACTTCAGAACAATCATAATCTTGACTAACTTCCCCTTTTAATATATTAGTGTTTTTCTTCCAAAAACTGTCTTGAATTAGATCTTCGTGGAATGGATAAATTACCTACAAACAAAAATAAAATTAAAACCATTAACATTCAGTATAAATTGCTTTTAAGCATAATTTAAGTAACTTTCAACCAAGCTACATATCAAAATAAGTCTGTCACTTCATAATTAGATGAGCAGTAGTAAATTGCTCATAGACTAAGAGCCAGTGAATGTCTGATGTCTATGCACATGATAGTGGATATAATAACATTTGGGTGTTATGAAACTTGACTATGGGGAGATTTTGTAAAAAAACAGGTACTCAAAGTATCAAAATATGTCAGGAAATTACATTATAGTATGAAAGCTGATTTTTTAATATGTTAATCTAAATCAGAGCTTCTCAATCTTTTCTGGACTGCTCCCCTTTAGAAGATGTAAAAAAGTTGTGACTAAAAATAAGTAGAAAGTAGGATAAAACCATGGATATTAAAAAAAAGGAAGCAACTAAAATGCCTGGTATTTCTCAGTTCTTCAACAAGTGTAAGTATTACATAAACCTGCTTCTTCTCTCCTTCCATTTATCAGATAAAAAGTATAAATAATAAATAAATAAAAAGTCTTATTACATCTTTTGACCAAAATCTTTGTGTAAATTACTCACATGTCTTTGCTTTTCATGAACAGGATGTTTAATCTTCTTCCTAAGCAATATGGTACCTTTTTTGAACAGCTCTGGTTCATTATTGTAATTAATACCAAATTCACTTAATAAAATTTCATTTTTATCTGAAGAAACTGTACCAGATAATTTTTGTTCAGCTTCAATATTAGTCAAGCCACTTTTTAGGACGAGTGCCCAAAAAGTGGTGTTGTATAGGTTATTAATGTGACAGTCAGCTTGTCTCCAATTCAAATAATCTCGAAGTTCTTCATTTGATGGATATAACACTACTCGAGAATCAAATGAAGGAGGATATTTTAATTTTACATCGTGAAAATAGTCCTTCCAAAAGTATACATAAGATGATGTAAAAAGGCTGTTAAGATAAGTCATTAATTTGTCTTTTCTTCTATTGTACAATGCAGTCTCCTTTCTTAGAATAAAAGAATATTCATCGCTTACTCCATAACTCAAAACTATGTCTTTATACTCCTGCATAACTGTGGCTGCTGCTTTATTCATCAAATGCAATGCCCTTGTATCATTGGGTTTAGTAAAAGTGTGTTTACAAGAAAATTTGTGGAAACCTTTACCATCAATTCGAACTACAATCCAACAATTTGGTAAAAGTTTTTCCTCGGTTTCATATTGTTTGACGTATTCAAATTTACTTTTCGCCATTAATGAAGAAGAGATATTTCTAATTATATTGGTAATTAAAGGGAAATATCTCATTTAATATTCAAATTTCAAAATATAACCTCAAATTATCCGGTTCTTCTTCGTTTAGTATTCAGGCCTCCACCTTTCCAATATTTCGCCAAACTAGTTTATAATCAGTGTTGCCAATAGGTGATGTATGAAAGTCTCAACTTTACAAGTTGAAAATCACCAAAAATCGGGGGAAAGTATTAATTTTTTTTTTGAATCAATAATAAAGTAAGGTACAAAATATAGGAACTTGTGTAAGAAATATAGTATGTAAGTAATTAATGCGAAAACGCCCTTTTATTATGGTTTCTTTAATTTTTTTATTAAACATAGGTAACTAACTGTTGTTTTTTCGACTTTTCAATTTTTCGATTTTCCAATTTTTTGAATTTCTGATTTTTCCATTTTTCGATTTTTCGATTAAGTGATCAGTTATGTAAACTTATTCATTAGTACTTAGTATTATATGTCGTGTAGAATTCAAATATACGCGGTGTTGCCTCTAAATATTTACAGAGGTGTGTGTGTGCGCGTGTGTACGCGTACGTGCGTGCGAGCTTGTGCGTGTGTATGCGTGCGTACGACTGTGTGTGTGCGCCTTGGTGCATGCATGTATGTGTGTGCGTGCGTGTGCGTTCGTATGTGTGCGTGTGTACGCGTGCGTGTGTGGGCGTGCGTGCGTGTGTGCGAGTGTGTGTGTGTGCGCGCGTGTGTGTGCGTGCGTGTGCGTGCGTCTGTGCGTGTGTGGGTGTGTGCGTGCGTGCGTCTGTGAATGCGTGTGTGTGCGTTTGTGAAATTTTTAGATTTTTGGATCTTTAGATTTTTTGATTTTTCGACTTTTCAATTTTTCGTTTTTCCAATTTATTGATTTTTCGATTTTCGATTTCGATTAAGTGATCAGTTATGTATGTAAACTTATTCATTAGTACCCAGTATTATATGTCGTGTAGAATTCAAATATACGCGGTGTTGCCTCTAAATATTTACAGAGGTGTGTGTGTGTGTGTGTGTGTGCGTGCGTGCTTGTGTGTGTGCGTGCTTGTGTGTGTGTGTGCGTGTGTGCGTGTGTGTGTGTGCGTGTGTGCGTGTGTGCGTGCGTGTGTGTGTGCGCGCGTGTGTGCGTGCGTGTACGTGCGTGCTTGCGTCTGTGTGTGTCTGGGTGCATGTGTGTGCGTGCGTGTACGCGTGTGTGTGTGCGCGCGTTCGTGTGTGCGTGCGGGCGCGTGCGTATGTGCGCGTGCGTGCGTGTGTGTATGTGTTCGTGTCTGTGTGTATGTGTAAGAGTATGCGCGCGTGAGCGTGTGCGTGCGTGTGCGAGTGTGTGTGCGTGTGTGTTTGTGCGCGTGCGTGCGTCTGTGTGTGTCTGGGTGCGTGTGTGTGCGTGTGTGTGCGTGTGTATGCGTATGTGCGTGCGTTCGTGCGTGCGTGTGCGCGAGCGTGGGTGTGTGTGCGTGTACGTGCGTGCGTATGTGTGTATGTGTGTGCGTGTGTGTGTGTGTGTGTGTGTGTGTGTGTGTGTGTGTGTGTGTGTGTGTGTGCGCGCGTGCGTGTGTGTGCGCGTGTGTGTTTGTGTGTGCATGTGTACGTGTGCGTATGTGTATGTGTGTGCGTATGTGCGTGCGTTCGTGCGTGTGTGAATATGCGTGCGTGAGTGTGCGTGCGTGTGCGGGCGAGTGCGTGTGTGTGTACGCTCGTGCGTGTGCTTGTGTGCGTGAGAGTGCGAGTGCGGGTGCGGCGAGTTCAAGTGCAGGTGCTTGCGTGTGTATGTGCGTGCATGCGTCTGTGTGTGCGTGCATGTGCGTGCGTGTGCGTGCGTGCGTGTGCGTGCGTGTGCGTGTGTGTGTGTGTGTGCGCGTGTGCGTGAGTGCGTGTGCGTGCATGTGCGTGCGTGTTTACGTGTGCGTCTGTGCGTGCGTGTGTGTGCGTATGTGCGTGTGTACGTGTTCGTATGTGCGTGTGTGTGCGTGAGTGGGCGCGTACGTTTGTGTGTACGTGTTTCTGTGCGTGCGTGTGTGTGCGCGTGCGTGCATGTGTGTGCGCGTGCGTGCATGTGTGTGCGTGTGTGTGCTCGCATGTTCGTGAGTGTTCGCGCGCGCGTATGTGTGCGTGCGTGTGTGTGTATGTGTGTGTGCGCGTCTGTGCGTTCGTGTATGATGTGTGTGTATGTGCGTGTGTGTGCGTGCCTGCATGTGTGTGCGTGATTGCATCTGTGCGCGTGTGTGTGCGCGTATGTGCGTGTGCGTGCGTGCGTTCGTGCGTGGGTATGCGTGGGCTTGTTCGTGTCTGTGCGTATGTGTGTGTGCGCGTGCATGTGTGTGAGGGCGTGGGCGTGTGCGTATGTTTGCGTTCGTGCGTGCGTGTTCGTTCGTACGTGTACGTGTGTGCGTGTGTGCGTATGTGCGTGCGTGCACGCGTGCGTGTGCGTACTTGCGTGTTCGTATGTGCGTGTGTGTGCGTATGCGTATGTACGTGCGTGCGTTCGTGCGCGCGCGCGCGTGTATGTGTATGCGTGTGTATGAGTGGGCGCGCATGTTTGTGTGCGTGCGTGTGTAGTTGAGTGCGTATGCGTGCGTGCGCGCGCGCGTGTGTGTGTGCGTGTGTGTATGTGTGTGTGTGCGCGCGCGCGCGTCTGTGCGTTCGTGTGTGTGTGTGCGCGCGCGCGGGTGTGTGTGTGCGCGTGTGCGTACGTGTGTGTGTACGTGTGTGTGCGTGCCTGCATGTGTGTGTGCGTAATTACATCTGTACGCGCGCGTGCGTGTGTGTGTGTGCGTGCGCGTATGTGTGTGTGCGCATGTGTATGTGTGTATGCGCGTATGTGTGTTCGTGTTAGCGCGTGTGTGTGTGCGTGCGCGTGTGTGTTACTGGGTGCGTGTGCGTGCGTGCGCGTGCGTGTGGTGTGTGTGTGGGGGCGTGTGTGCGTGTGCGTGCGCCTGTGCGCGTGTGTGTGCGTATGCGTGTGAGAAATTTTTCGATTTTTGCCTTTTTTCGATTTTTTGATTTTTCAACTTTTCAATTTTCCGATTTGCCTATTTTTCGAATTTTTGATTTTTGTTTTTTTTTTTATTTTTTGATTTTTCGACTTCAGGTCTAAAATTCCTATTTTAAAGTTTATGAAATGTTCAAATTTCAATTATTTTTTTTTCTGGACAGTAGTGATTTTCGCATTTTGTTTTGCATCGATTTGTAATATTTTGTTGAAATACCTAGATGTACACGTTAATTTTAATTATTATATTTTTCCTTATGAAGTTAATTGACGCAGCAGCTAAAATTTCTGAAGAGATAATCTCTCTTTTAGTACAAACAAATCAATTTTAAACTCTCAAAAATCACACGTGCAGGTGTATTTTTCAATCCATCAGCTATAGTGGACCTTGATAGGTTAAAATCTAAAATATATGCTTCGTTCGTAATAATTCTATTGTTGATTGTTTTGATATTACTTAATTGCTTGACTTGACCTTATAAGCAATCATAAAAACTAAATTACGAACTACCTCTTTTTAAAAATAATAATTTATCATAATTATTTATAATGAGGATGAGAATATAAAACTATACATGGATGTAGGTATATAATACAGGGTGAGTAATGAGAAAATCTATTATACCTAAATATAGAGGTACATACCACTTCTATGGGTGAAAATCTGAAATCAGCATTCTAGATCATAATTTAGATTTTCAATGGTGTTATGATCATATAACCAACATTCCAGGAAGACGTAAAAAATATGTTGGATTGCTTTTTATTCAACCTACAAAGAAAAACAAATCCGTATCAATTTTGCATCCTATGATTAAAAAAATAGCAGAAAATGTTTAAATTAAATTGCAGACTGAAATAGTATAAATTTATTACAACAGTTTACTGTTTTAATCATTATATAATTTTTTGTATCGCCTTCCACGTTTATTTTGCTGTGAAGGATATACCTTTCTTTATTTGGAATTGTTAACAAATAATATTCATATTTGTAGTTAATTAATGTAGACATTCTTAGTTTGACGCGACGCGGCGTTTATAAAACTAATTAAGTTAATTGTTTTTATAATTATTATTTATACAGTATGTACCTCCAAGTTGGAATCATATGGAAAACTTTTTTATTATTAATTTTAGGAAAAAAGTTATTCTTCATAAAAAGTTCTGCATTATCTAAAACCTAGAATACAGTCATCAAATATCAAATTTTTTCAGTGGTATATGAGGTTTTACTTAAGAATAAAGTACCTTTATTCTTTATACGACTGATAAAATTTGATATTTGATGTTTGTATTTTAGGTTTCAGACCATGCTCGACTTTTTATAAAGAACAACATTTTTTTTTTAAATTAGTAATAAAACAGCTTTCCTATCATCAACTGTCTAAATTGGCGGCATATGAAAATCTTTTTCGTTTCATAGAATAAGAACTTGACAATCGCATGTATTTATGGACTATAAATAATTATTAAACATGTATTATAATACCTAAATCATAATTCTACAAAATTTCAACAGCTATTCACAATTTATTAAACTATTTACTCGAAATTGTTATTAACGTCTAAAATTTAATTTTGTACGCCAATGTATCGCGTCCACTTCGGTTAGATCCGCTGCAAACCTGTCAAGTGATGTGTATGAAATGGGACAACTAGCAAGAGCCTTTCCAACTTCTGGTCCTGCTATAATTACTTTGTCTTGGAAGTTAGAATTTTTTTCGTGTGATATCAAATGAAAGCATTTTGAAGCATGTTAACAATATATTATACGTTGGTTTCTTTTACTTTTTCTGTGAGAGTTTTTCGAAAACACCCAAAAATTGTTGTCTTTCTAATTTATCTCCAAAAGTAACCTCCGAAAATTTTGACAGCATGGAAATTATTACGATTCTGTCCGTTGGTTAGTTTTTTGTACAGAGAAATTTCTACCTTTTATGAATCATTCCTATACTACTACAATATTGTATTTACGAAAACAAAGAAAACGATAGAACCACAAAAATTAAAAAATCAGTTTCCACCTTATATTAATGAGTTACATAATCAATCTATTATGTGAAATGAACGGTTAAAGAAAGAAATAAATTCTACATATTATACAGAACGTTACAATAATTTAAAAAAAGAGTATCAAAAAATAACAAAACAATATTTGAGAAGAAAAAATAATGATCGTATTTTAAAAAGTAATAACGTAATGAAAGAATCCTGGAATATAATAAACGAGAGTAGGGGGAAAAGAAAAAACAACTTATTGAATCCTATTAAACTTACAAATGCAGCTTGCTTAGAGTTTATATATCAAGCACTCAATGATAAAAAACATATTTTGGAACTCTTCTATGACCTTAGCCGTGCATTTGATATGGTGGATCATAATCTTTTATTATTGAAGATGCATGGGTTAGGAATACGAGGGAAACCTTATGAATGGATACAGTCTTACTTAATAAATCGAACTCAAGTAATTGTAACAAATAGTCTAAAATCTGATCCTCTTCCATGTACAATAGGAGTTCCCCAAGGTTCAATTTTGGGCCCACTTTTTTTATATTTTTTATAAGTGATATAAGTAATTTTTGTTTAAGCTCTCAACAAATAGTTCAATATCCCGATGATACCAATATTGTAATGGTAGATGATCAAATTGAACAGGTCACTCAAAGTAGCAACGAGGCATCTCGTGAGTTAAACAGTACTTATTGTAAAGATAACAGTCTGGCATTAAATGTAACAAAAACAAACTTCATGCAATTTCTACCCAAAAACATATTACCAGATTACGAACCCTACTTGCACGTTGACGGAAAAACTATTCAAAGCGTTGATGACATAAAATTTTTAGGAATAATATTAGATCCCAAAATAAATTGGGAAGCTCATATAAAAATGGTAACTTCAAAATTAATTATCAAAAATTTAAGGGAGACACTATCTTTTGATACTTTAAAACTACGCTATTTTGGTTTGGTTCATTCAACTCTACAATATGGGTTAATATTTTGGGGTTCTTCACCATACTTTGAAAGAGCTTTTGTATCTCAAAAGAAGGTTTTGACAACCATGTATAAGGTGAAACCAACAACATCATGTAAAGAACTTTTTAAGAAAACGCAAATTTTAACACTACCTTCCCTTTTTATTTTTCAACTAATTTTATACATAAAAGATAATGAGTATATATTTAAGAAAAATAAAGACCTGCACTCATATGATACTAGATTAAAATTTAACATCCATCAACCTTTTTCACGACTACATAAGTCAGCATTCACCAAAATATATTGGGATTAAGTGTTATAATAAGTTCAGTAACATATTAGAAGATACTACAGGTTATCATCAAAATAGTCGTAATGATTTAAGAAAACATCTTAATGATTTTCTTGTAAATAATGTATTTTATAATATAGAAGATTTTTTGAACTAATCTTAATATGAATTGTCTATTATATATATTTTATTTTATTTTTTAATGTATTTTAGGTACTTAACACTTTATTGACTAGTCTGATAGGATTTTACATTATGTACCTAGTGTCTTTGTATAGTGTATAATTCCCAAAGATGAATAAATTCTATTTCTATTTTAATTGATTCAAAGACAACTAGATTTCGACTAATAATAAAAATTCAGGAAGATGTGAATCAGTGTAATTATTAATGATAATAATTTGCAACAATACAAAATGTCATAAGTGGATTCTCACGCATAACTGAAGTACCTAGGTACTTCCTATATTTTTAAAATAATTCATAGACATTTAGAAGCACCTCGACTCGCACAAATGGTGGGTATATATCCGGTCAAACCACATTAATAGTTAGTTACCTTACTCACAAGGTAATTCTCATTACGTTATCAGTAGTAGTAAGAGTTTCGTTTTCATGGATATAGCAATAAACAGAAAACCAGTTGACTATATCGTGTTCGAGCGGGTACGTCTATTTTGCCTCCGTAGTACTTAAACAAAATGTTTACTGTGTGTTCCTTTCATTCATTACAATCGTGTAATTTTTCTCATGTCATTTTTAATGTATGCTAATAATATCTTTGTTGAGTCTTTTGATAATGCGAAAAATTGTGTCGAGTGAACGTGAAAAGTGTAGTGTATAGGTGATTAAAAAAGGATATTTAAATTACAAAGAATTTACTGGTTTTTAAAATGCCAGGAAAGTGGAACAATAATGACCCAATCAATAATGGTCATTCTGTAAGTACATTATAAAAATAATTATATACAATATTATTTACCTACAAAACTACTTATTAACGGCCAATTTAATATTTATGACTAGATTTCTCGAGCGTCGTATGATTAGACGGTTTTTAAAAGAAACTTTGGAGACTACGTGAAAACTAAGTAATTGAATATAATATATTCGTCTTGATTTATGAAAGCGTAAATCAAATTAATTAAAATCGGATATTGAATAGAATAGAATAGAATACTTTTATTTAACTATGTTGTTTAGTGTTACATAAATTTATAGCAAGTAAAAAAAAACAGAATAAACAATCATAAGATTAAAAATTACAAACAACAATAAAGTCATCTAACATACATATACAGTGCTTTTCAGATAAAAGTATCCACCTTAAGTAACTTTTGAAGGACTGATTATTACAAAAAACAAAAAAATACGTCATTAATATTCGAAGGAGGAGATATCGTGCCATATTTAAGTTTGCTAAAAAAGTCACCCTTTCACCCCTACTATCATCCCTTCAATTTTTTTAAATGGTTTGCCCCATTTTTTTATCCATTTTTGGATTGCTCTCGTTTAACTGATTTCAAAAATGTATAAAACATAACCTAACAACTTTATAGTTTTAGGATCTGGTAGTGGTGCACGCAGCGACACATTCATGTTTTGTGATTTATCGTTTAAGTCTATTTGCCGCAAACCAATAACTTGCTTTTTCTACCAGTTCATTGGTTAGACTAGATAGTTGTGAGTAACTATCACTTGAATAGATTAACGTAGCATCATCAGCAAATAAAATACTATGAATAGGTTTCAGGAAATTGCATAAATCATTTATGTATACGATGAAGAGTAACGGTCCCAGAACTGATCCTTGCGGAACTCCTGTATTTATAGGGTTTAAATTTGACCGGCTATTATTATAAAATACACTTTGAAACCGATTGCTGAGATATGATTTAAAAAGGTGCAACGCAGTTCCTCTAACTCCATAGTAATTAAGCTTTTCAAGGAGGATATCATGTGAAACACAGTCAAACGCCTTTGACAAATCGCACAGTGTAACTCCTACAAACTATCCGTTTTCAATGCCATCAACCATGTAATCAATTGCAGCATCAGACGTTGATCGCTTTGAACGAAAACTAAATTGATGGGCAGAAAAAAAAATATTTGATTCAAAGTAATGAGACAATCTAATTTTAATTAGTTTTTCAATAATTTTTGAAAATGTATTTAAAATTGAAATCGGACGGTAGTTATCAATGGCTGATTCTTCACCTTTTTTGTGTAGAGGAATAACTTTTGCAAATTTAAATATATCTGGAAAAATACCAGTGAGGAAAATGTTATTGATTAACATTTTCAGAGGGTCCAATATAATTTCTATAGTTTCTTTTATAAGTTTGGCATTAATCCCATGCATATCTGCACATGGTGAATTTTTAAGAGTTCTAACAACGTCAAGAAATTCTTGTGCAATACATGATTTCTCTAAAATGGAGCGTATTAATTTTAGAAATCTCTGTAAAATCTCTAGTGCATAATAGAGAATTTTAAGCTGGTTAACATTTAATATTGTTAAATATTTAAACTTATAGAGAATACATCTTAGTTTTTGCAAGTGTAAAAAATATGTACATCCCATCTCATATGCGAGTCCAAATATATACCCCGATATTTTATGTTACTTATTGAATTTATTATATATTGGTTGTTACTGGTAATAATATTTAGTTAATTGAAGGGGAAGTTGTGGATTTATTACAGAAAAAAGGTATGTAAAAAGTTTTTTCAACGTTTATTGTTATGAATTTATAGTTTAACCAGTGTTGTATTGCAGGAAAATCGTTTTCAACCATATTTTTCAGTTGCTCCCATGTGTCAGTAGTATAGAAAATCGCCGTGTCATCTGCGAACCCCAAAATTTCACCCTTCCAACTAATCGAAAATAAATTATTTATTTACAAATTGAATAGAAGCAGACCTAAGATAGTGCCTTTGGGGCACACCATATTTAATGGGTATAAAATTACTGTAGCTATTGGCTATCCTTACGGTTTGCATTCTTTAATTTGAATAGGTAGTAAATAAATTTAATGAAGTGCTTCTAATCCCAATAGCTTCGAATGTTTGCAGGAGAATGTGATGGCTTATCGTGTCGTATGCCTTTGATTAATCAAAAAACACGCATAAGCAAGGTTTACTGGCGTCTAATGATGCATATGTTTTTTGTGTTAACGCCGTAATCGCATCTTCTGTGAAATTGGTTGTTTGATAATTTGATTAAGCAAGTTTCCAAAACTTTTTCAAATACCTTGGAAAAACTAGATATAAGAGATATTGGACGATAATTAATAAACCCAATTTTATTCATTTATTGCAGATTTCCACGGAATCCAGAAAAACGTATTAAATTGATAAATTTTTTGATATAGAATTTCTGGGGTATCTACGAAATATTGTGTATTATGTTTTAAGCACTTTCTTATATAACACTTTGATTTAATTTCTAAATAAATAAAAAAAGATTTTATATGTACCCAGTTTATTTAAAATTTATTTTTTTATTGTTACATAGATTGGGTCTTTTTGTAAAGGCTAGTATTTGGCTGTTAGAGATGGATTAGAGATCTTCGGGGGCGCAAAAAATAAACCTTGCCCATAGTAGAATATCTCCTAGTTACGGCCCTGTTCTTTGTTTGACTACTTTCTATTAAAATGTAGATTTTCAAATTCCAAATGATTAATCAATACTGATTAAATTAAAAATATCTTTTGTATGTATATTCGCATTATTATGCATTTTAAATTATTTAGTAATTTACCTATAGATTTTTTTTTTCTTAAGAAACTAACATCGTACCACTTCAGTTACCCAGTAGGTACGTACCAAAGCATTACAAACGATATACTATTTAATAATTCAAAATATGCAGTAATGAACAAACATTCAGAAATGTTGTTAGCAAATAACAAATTATTAAATAGAAAATACAAACTGAAAATGATCATGGAGAAAATATAAACAAGATTGCAAAATAAAAATTTCTTGAAGGAAATTAATTGTTTTGCAACTATTTGTTGGGGTTTCCCTGTTTTCACAATTCTATTTAGGAATTTTAAAACGGTAATATAAACGCGCCTAATCAGAATGTTCGCTGAAAATAAATGTAAAAAACTGAATACAGAGAACTGTTAATTTGAAAAAAAATACCTTTTTATAAGATAATTACAAAGAATGGCAGATTATAAGAAAGTAAATGATATTAATGAAAAGGTGTATATAAGTAGTTAACAATATTTTCTTGTAGCAAAACCTAATTTTCAATGATTAATAATAATACTTATAATAATAATAATTTAAATAACTATAAAAAATATACTATTTAAAACATTTCACCTATATAAATTAAAATAATGAAAAAACAAACGATACAGTGTTGTGAATGTATTCAAACATATTCTTATTTTAAATGTTTAATATGTTTATTCATGAAAAATGAATATAAAATACAAAGGTGAATATATTAACACAGTGTTATATATAGGAGAGTACATTCAATAAAATAACTAATGATTAAAAACAAAAGTAATAATATATTTCAGGATTGTAGTTTATATCATTTTGATTTTTTAAACAGAACATACTGTTCAAATACAGAATACATGACAATCAATTTAAGAATTTTCATCAGTGTAATCCATTAAGGACAAAATATCCTTGTGCATTAGAATGACGTCTGCAGACCAAAATTTAATTGTAACCAGGAGCGTGCGGTTCATGGAAGCGGGGGAAGTACCGCTTCCCTACACTTTGAGATTTAAAAATAAATATTTTTCAGTTTACAATGCATAGAAATGAATATTAAATTAGGTAGGTACCTTATTTTCTCTGAAACATTACGTAAACTTCGTAAATGTACTAACAATTAATTGGTGTAATGTGTAAACGCACGCACCACTCATGAGAAAATTAATTGTGTAAACGTACATACCATATACTTCGAGTCCGCCGGCGGAAGCGCGTCTTGAATAAGCCGTCTCATCTTCCAATTGATTTCGCGTCGTGTTATTGACCTTGCTTTGCCGCGATAGTAGTCAGTCTGTTTGGACACGTGAAATACGGTCGAGAGGCAGCGATTTTTACGTCGCCTTACACATATTGCAAATCGTAGACTTCAGATAGATTTCGGTTTGTTTTTCGTAGTTGTTTTTCTTTTTATAAAATGGAGGAACTATGTACTGTACCTGTGAACAATAATAATGAGGTAAATTGTGTCTGTATTGTGTGCTCTTTATTAAAAAAAGGATTTTCAAGTAGAAATTTTGAAGAGAAAACGGACATTATTAATTCTAGTAGACTAAAGGATCCTATCAATTTAGAAACGAAAGTAGAAAAGTCAGCAAAAAAATTTACCAGGCATTTTTACGTAGGGTTCTATGAAAAGTATAAATGTTTAACCGGCTGCAAAACTTTGAAAAAATTGTTTTGCTGGCCGTGCCTACTTTTTAATATAGCCGAAAAAACACATTGGAACTCAGTCGCTATTACAGACTTGAATAATTTTCACAAAAGTGTAAAACGACATATAAATAGCAAATCTCATATAACTGCTACAAATAAAGGAAAAACATTCGGAACATATCGCATTGAACATAGTTTAGTTTAAAAATAAGCAACAAAATTCACAATAAAAGGGTAAAAAAAATAGGGACGTCTTACAACGAGTAATAGATGTAACATGTTTCCTGGGAGAGCATGAACTAAGTTTTAGGGGTCACAATGAGCAAGTGCATCCGCCAATCGAAGAAATTACATGGACCTTCTAAGTTTTTTAGCAAAATACGATGATACCCTAAAAAATTATTTTATTAATTCGACGACTTTCCGAGGTACCTCAAACAGAATCCAAAATGATTTAATTAAATGCACTGCCGACGTTGTGATGGATCACATTAAAAGTGAAATTAAAAAAGCACCTTTTGTATTAATTGCGCTTGA